TGCAATTTCATGTATAATGGGATTTCTAGATAGATGATATCTATATGGCTGCTAGTCCGAGGGAGGTGTTGGCTCTAGGCTGCCTATCACGGACTAGCGCACCGCACATATATGCCTCAGCTACCTACATGCTAATACAACCACTTAGACGTTCTACAAATCTGTCACATCAATATATCATTATTTAAACAGTGAAAAACGATTAATTTAATAAACACTATATGGGATTAGAATTAAGATATTTGATGAAATCAGTGATAAAATATTTAATTCTAGTCCCATGCATGGTTACTCAGTCAATTTAATAATTAATGAAGGCTTGTACAAATTTTTTGATTGTCATCTTCAGGACTTTCAAGACACGGACCACAAAGAAGAACCAAGCATTCTTCATTACATTCACAAAAAAGCTCTTCACAATAAACAAAGCGGTTATTTAATAAAGAATTAGGTCTGAACATAGATTGTTTTTCATTTTTATTTGAATTTAATGTAGGGAAATTTGATGATATTAAAGTATTTGATGATGATGGTATAATATAATTAGTTAAATCTTTTGAAGAAGTATATGTTCGCCAATTATTCACTAAATTGTTATTATTATTATTATTATCAGTAATAGATTTAACTTCATTAACAGATATTTTCTAAATGTTCAAGTAATTTATTAGATTTTATACTTCATTTTATTATAAAATTTAATAATATTATATAAAACAATGATATTGATTATTTATAACAATAAATTTACAGTACTTACTTGTGCTAATATTTCTTGCATTATTATAGAAAATATAATTTGTAAAATTAAGAAAATAAACTTCATAATAAAAATAATAAAATAATATATAATATTAAATTTAATATATACAATTATTCTTTTTAATATATTAAAAATATTAAATATATATAAATACATTATATCTTGTTATAAATTAGTTTAACTATTATTTGTACTTATATTACAATTAAATGTCATGAAAGTGATTTTAATAACAGTGTTAACTTTTAATTTTATTAGATAAAATGAAATAATGTCTTTTAAAACTCGGGTAAAGCTTAAAAAAGAAGAAAATTATAAAATTTTATAATTGAAATCATTAAATATCAATGTGTTCAAAACAGTGGCTTTATTTTCGATGATTTTATTAATATAGAGGAGATTTTTACATCTTTAATTGGTTTAAATAAGTGGAGACTTCACTTTAACATTTAATTATAATTCTAAGGGCGTGTTCGGTTGTTCTGTTTAACCTCGTGTAAGGTCTTATAAGAGACCCACTTCTCTGGTCTGTATGCTCTTACACACTCAAATACACTCTTACACAGCTTTACCTACTCAAAAACATCTAGTATTTTCTATATTCCCCATTTACACAGGATTAGACTTCAACCAGCTATTTAAACTGAAAAGTGGAGAATTCTAACTGAAATAGGCTAGATAGAGGGTGTATAAGATCATGTAAGCTACACACATCTAAGACCTTCTCATGAGATGGTTTTACCTTGTGTAAGGTTGTGTAAGTGGAGGGGACTCTCTATAATCAGGGCCCTAGATGTTTAGTAGATATTTAGTAAGCCTCTGAATATGACATCAGCAGCATGCTAAAATGGTAATAATGGTATTAATATCCACTTTTTGCGTGCAGGTTTTGTGAGATTGTACGTGCATCCGAACACGCCCTTAAATACAAGCCGCAAATCGCTCGCTTGCGCTTGCTTATTCAGCTTGAAAACTCACTGTTTAATCCCTTCAATGAAGATAATAAAGATGAATTCTTGTGACGGGTTAGCATCTGTTAGTAGTTAGCTTGCGCAATCAACTTCTCACAACTCTGTTTTGTGCTTTCATAGCTTCTAACAATTCTTCTGTGTAATCTCTGCTCCGCCCATGTGTAACGTGACTCACCACCCAACGAACTCATCCACCCAACGAACTCCTATTTTTCCCATGAATCCCTGCAACTCTTCAACTTCAACCACCCACCATGCCACCCAACGAAGCAATTATAGAGCAAGCGATCGCTCAATTGAATCGACAATTGATTCCTAAATATGCTGAGGTTGCAAAGGAATTCGGAATCAATCGCGTTACCTTGATGCGGCGGTTCAAAGGTCAACAGGTCTCCAGAACAGAGGCAACATCAATCTACTGTCAGAATCTCACGAATACTGAAGAACAACGCCTCCTATTTCATATTAATCAGTTATCCGATCGCGGCTTCCCTGTGACACCTCAAATACTGCGCAATTTTGTATTTGAGATCACCAAAATGCAAGTAGGAATCAACTGGGTGTCTCGCTTTTGTGAGCGGCATAAAGCAAAGATCAAGAGCATCTATCTTCGTGCTCTGGATCAAAAGAGAAAGCAGGCAGATAATAGCTACTATTTTGAACACTTCTTTACTCTTGTAATTGCAGTTTTTTTGCTTCTTTTCGCGTGCAATTCCATGAGCTTTTTGCTGACTTCTATTGAATAGTTGCAGGAGAAGATCAAGCAGTATGATATCCTACCCCAGAACACCTACAATTTCGATGAAAAAGGCTTTCTTCTTGGCCTCCTTCGTACCCTCAAGCGAATCGTTTCTATAGAAGCTCTCAAACGGAAGCATACAATTGGAGCAGTGCAGGATGGCAGTAGAGAATTCATTTCTCTGCTTGCCGGTATTTGTGCAGATGGAACTACAATTCCACCTGCACTCATTTACCGCGGGGAATCAAGAGATATGCAAGATAGTGGCTTGAAGATTTTGATCCTAAAAAGGATCAGGCATACTTCGCTGCTTCAGAAAATGGATGGAGTAATGATGAATATGGGTTAACCTGGCTGAAACAGGTGTTTGATCCTCATACAAAGCAAAAAGCAAGAAATCATTACCGCCTGCTTATATTAGATGGCCATTCATCTCATATAAATATGGCATTCATTGATTATGCGGATCAGAATCGAATTTTGCTTGCTATTCTTCCTCCCCACTCTACACACCGTTTACAGCCGCTAGATGTTGGAATATTTGGCCCACTTGCAAAGGCATATTCAGATCAACTAGATTCCTATACACGTTCTGGCTATGGCTTTATTCGGACTACAAAGCGAGATTTTTGGCGATTATTTCGTGCTGCATAAATCTCTACAACTGCGGAAAATATCAAATCTGCCTTCATGGCCACTGGCATACATCCTATAGATCCTGCCCGCGTTCTCAAAAAGATTCAACCACGTCCACTTACACCCCCGGAACTGCTTCAGCAGCGTACACCTACATCTATACGAGCTTTGCGAGGCCTGATAAAGCAGGCAAGTCAACGTCACCGCCGACTTTCAGTTGATATTAAAAAAATTCTCCGCGCTGGGGAGAATATTGCTCTGGACAGAGAGGTTCTCTTAATAGAGAATAAGAATCTTCAGACTGCTCTAAATAATGAGAGAAGGCGACGCAAACGGGGTAAGCGTATGGGGTTGCTTAATCCATCAAATCCCTCACTTGCTCAATTCTTTTCTCCCACAAAGGTGCAGGCCGCGAGGGAGCAAGCAGATGCTAATGAAACTGCGAAAATCGATGATCAGGCACGCAAGGAGGATATGAAGCTTCAACGAGCGATTCTTCGTGAGCAAAAGCAGGCAGAGCTCATGGAGCGGAAGGAACAACGTGAGAAGGAACGTTTAGAAGCTGCTCAACGCCGTGAGGAGGCCAAAGCTGCAGCTGCAGCTAAACGTTGTATAGAGAAGCAACGGCGAGATGAACAGAAGCTTCAACTGCAAAAAGAGAAGGAAGAACGTGCTGCTAAACGTCATGAAGCACAGTTGGCAAAGAAGGCACTCGCGGAGGCCTCAAAGAGGCCTACAAGAAGATCAACAGTGGGCTCAAAACACCGTAGAAGCTCTATACAACCTTCTAAAAGCGGTAATAAGTGCCGCACGCAGGTCCCCCCAGTGGAATCAAATGATATTCCTTCTCTGAAACCTTCTACGCCGCGATCCGATTCGACCGTTTCAAAACCACGAGTTTCACGTTCCGGGCGGATTATTAGGCCAAGCAATCGTTCTCTGAATTAATCATATATATTTATATGATGTATTCTACATATAGTTTTAATCTTTAATAAATAATATTAATATCTTCTTGCATTGTTGTGCTACAGTTGAAAATTAACGGCTCTATAGAGCGCTTTTTGGAGTTCGTTGGGTGGTGAGTCACGTTAGTTCTATGTGTAGTTCTAACGATTCCTCCGCGTAACTTTTAATGTTCTTCCGCTCCGCACTTCATTATAATGTGATCTTCAATATTCTTCCATTTCATTTCTTTCTTTATAAAAATCCCTTTCTTTATACAATCTTCTCTTCTGATCTTTTTTCTCTTTTTTTCTTTCTTTAATCAATTTGTAAACTGTATTAGAATAGTGTTAGCCATTAATCAAAGTACGCCCCTTACAATTCTCAAGTTATATAATTTACAATTATTAATAGAGAATAATTATATCAATGAAAAAGATGAATAATATTGTAGTAATATTATAGAATTAATATAAAATAAAAGCTTTAAATAAGATATAATTAAATATCAGATAATTTATTAAACAAAGTAAAATGAAAGTTTTAAAAATTATATAAAATTTTTAAAGAATTAAATATTGATTTATAATTGATTGATAGCTTCTTGTAATGCACTCGTTTAATATTTCCTTATTATTATATTATCTTTGTTTATATCTTCGTCTATTCTTACCTCTTTCCATTATACTCTCGCTACCACTATTTCTATATGTAACTATATATGTGGAAGGTGTAAAGCATGCTTGATTGAAGGATTGCTAGCTACGTGGCAAGTTATTATGGTGGAAGGATTACTAAGCCAGGGCAGTTGACCTGACACCCCCACTCACCATAGTAACTATACACAATGCTACATACAAAATTTGCCTTCAAATCAAGTACAGGTACAAAGACAACTGGAAAAACGAAGTAGTTAAAAAAATCAAATCCATCAATTTTTACCCCCCTATCCCTTCATCTTAATAATCTCCTTCCAACGCGTATATTTCAACATTCCGAGCGGCTTGGTTAACCCGTCTGCCGCGTTCTCGGCGGATGGGACGTACCGGACCGATATCTCATTCTTGCGGACGAGATCCCGAAGGATATGGAATCGGACCTCTATATGCTTCGATCGGCGCGGAATCGCTTCGGAAGAGGATAGCTCGATGGCAGACTTGTTATCGGCATGAATCGTATAAGCAAGGCCATTCGCCGGAGGTGGGTTGGGGTGATCGTCGGCATCCAGATTATTGAGGCGGGACGGCACGAAACCGGCATCTTCTAGGAGCTCCTGTAGGCAGACGAGCTCATATGCGGCTTCGGAGGATGCGATATATTCGGCCTCGGTTGATGATTTGGAGACCCCTGTCTGCCGGCAGCCTCGCCAGGCGACGGGGCCCCCCGCCATATATATGATGTAGCCGGTAGTTGAGCGGGATCCCGGATCCCTACCGGCCCAATCGGCATCGGCGTACGCCACGGGTTCGATATCGGCGTCTTTGTAGTAGGTTAAAATAGCCGCATTAATCGTGCCCTGCAAGTAGCGGAGCGTACGTTTGAAAGCGGCCCAATTCTTCGAGGTAGGGCGGGCGCTGAATCGGCCTAGAAAGCCTGCTGCAAAGCTAACGTCAGGACGTGTATTGGTCGCAAGGTATTGCAGGGATCCAATGCCTGACTGATAGGAGCGTAGGGTAAATTCCGCCGTATAAGCGACCGGTTCCTCATTGTCATTCATGAAATCAACGTTCTCCTCTATGGGAGTAGACGTAGGGTGGCAGTCATCCATAGCGAATTCCTCCAGAAGATTCGTAATAAATAGGGGTTGGGACAACGTAAGGGAGGTCGAATCCCGCTCAATCTTCATGCCCAAATATCGGTTCGAATCGCCCACATCCTTGATTTCGTAATTAGCGGCGATTGCGGCCTTGGCCCAGTTGAGATCTTCGATCTTCGGGCCGTATAGGCGTACGTCATCCACGTATACAGTCATATAGACCTTTCTCGCGTCATGAATGAACAGTCCAGCATCGTAGGACTGACACGGAAGCCTGACTGCAATAGCATTCTTCGCAGTTCCTCATACCATAAAAGCGCTGCTTGTTTAAGACCGTAGAGTCCCTGCATTAATTCGCAAACAAGATCGCCACGACCTTCACGGAAGCCCGTAGGCTGGCTCATATATATCCGTTCGTCGGCCGGCAGTTGGGCGTTCAAGAACGCGGTTACCATATCGATTTGCAGAACGTGCCACCCTCGGGATGCCGAGATTGCCATGAGAGCTCGGGACGTGGAGGCGGAAACGACGGGTGCAAAGGTCTTCGAATAGTCGACACCCTTTTGTTGATAATTGCCGCAGACCACCCAGCGGGCCTTATAGCGGACGACTTTACCCAAATTATTGAACTTCTTGTCGAACACCCATTGGCCGCGAAGGACTGCCATATTAGGGGATCTTTCAATCAGTCGCCAGGCCCCAATCTGCTTTAGGCGATTAACCTCTTTAACACAGGCCTTGTAATAATACTTCCATTCGGCGGAAGCTTTGGCACGCGTGAGGTTCTTTGGAATCGGTAGGCCTGCAATTTCAGGATCGGAAGGGAGGTCTTCGGTCTCAGGGCCATTCTCCACTGAAGATTCCCCCACTGCAGTAATATTCCCTGACGGTGTCGGGGTATCCTCTATTTCTATTGAAGGATCCGGGGAAATCGGGGTATTTTGCACCAAAAAGGTAGGTATTCTCGCCGAAATTTCATAATCGATCCACCAATTATTCGTGGGTACTAGAAATAACGGACGTTCGGGTTGGATATCCTCATCGATGAAAAGATCATTAATCGATGGGTCAGGGGTCGCCGAAGGAATTGCCGCAGCCGCTTGGCGGGCCGCAGTGGGTAGGGCCTTCGGGTCTTTTGCGGTTGGAATTGACGGGTCTGCAAGGTGGAGATCCTCTTGGAAAATGACGTCTTTGGATATGTATAGACGCCCATTGGAGGGATCAACCAATCTATAATTAGTGAACCCATCGTAGCCGACAAAGGTTAATTCTAGTGATCGGGAGGCCATCTTATTCGTGGGCTTTGGGATTATTTTTAGGAACGCCTTGCAACCCCAACGGCGGATTCCACGGGCCGACGGGAGCGCTCCAAGCCATGCCTCATATGGGGTAATCGGCTTCATATTTTCGGGGCCCCCGTATAGAAGGGTTGAGGTTGGCATAAGGTTAAGCAGCTCCGTGGCCGCAATAACCGCCTCACCCTACATCTTTTCGGGAGCGGAAGAATCTATTAATAGGGATCGGGCTTTCTCAATGATCAACCCAATCGAACGTTCGGAAACCCATCTTGTTACGGGGTATGAGGGGGGGTCGGTTCCCATTTGATTCCCTCACTGAGCATATAAGCCGTAGCCGCGTTCGAATTCAATTCGCCACGATCGGAGTGTATAATCGCGATGCCGCGGCCCAGCAGATTCTTGATGAATTGGTTGAAGATCCGCAGATATTTCAACGTTTCATCCTTGCGTTCCAGAAGGAACACCCACCTCATACGTGTGGCGTCATCCGTAATGATCATGGCGAGCTTCTTGCCGGCGTAGGAGGATATGTCATTTTCGGTTCCAAGAGTCTCACCTCCGCCGAAAATATCCACCCAAATCTTAAGAGCTTTGCGAGTGGCACGGCGTGGTGCGGAATTCTTATACGTAGCGCGCCTCTGCTTGGCTTTGACGCACGTGGCGCAGAATGACAACTTCTTCGGGCCGATAATGGCAATTCCGAAGCGAGGGTCCCTGGCCATCTTCAATATATTATTTTCGCCGATATGGCCCAATCTACGGTGCCATTCATCAAACGGCAGTTGCTTCGGGACCACGGCAGGGAGTCGGTTAGGTGGGGATATGACGAAGGAATCCGTATCCGGATCCTTGGGGTTAATCAATTGCTCAACCTCCTCACGGTTGAACGGCCCTAGGGACCCTGCGTTCGGATCATAATCCGTTGAAATTGTCTTTGGTTTCGGAACAGCCACGTACGCGACCGCCCCATATTCTTGGTCATTCATAACGCCGTCAAACGTCGGAGGACTGTCGGATAGGATGTAAATATTATTGCGGGAAAGGTTGGCATAGAACACGTCATTGCCAGTAGGGGACAGGAACTCAAAATAATTTCCAGCGTCAACGTGCATATCACGGCGAATATAGCCCTGGCGTTCCATAAGCCCAGCGGAGATGAGGTTAGCTGACAGTCCTGGCACGTAGTATACGTGATTGAATTCAATCAACCTCTCGCCGACTGGGATGGATGCCATGCCGACGCCTTGGACCTTCAGAACGGCCTTGTTGGCCACCTGGACCGTAGGACCGTCGATCGTAAAAAGCGTCGAAAATCGTGATCTATCGCTCGCGATATGGCAGCCAGCGCCGCTATCCCATATGGTTAGGGGATCCTTGTGGGGTTCCACAAAGCAGGCCGGCACGTTTATAACCTTTGCAACGTTCGCCATCTGAAAGGACTCTGACCCGTCCGTAATCACTAACTGGGTCTTGCCCCCACTATTGTCCTTATCCTTCTTCGCCTTCTCCTTCTTCTCTTGAACTCCTTTAACTTAGTAGCATTATTGGCCTTCCAATCATCGGGCGCCTGGTCGGGATTCGTAAACCAACAGACAGTGCCGAAGTGGGATCTATTGCACTCGGAGCAGGTCGGCGGATTGCCAGCTCCACCACGGCCACTGCCGCGGGAGCCGCCACGACCGCGTCCGGAACGACCTCCACGGGCCGAGTTAGATGTATTCGCGCTATTATTGTTCGCGGAATCGGCAGCTGCTGTGGCCCCCGATTGGGCAGCGTTGGCAGCTGTATCCACCGATTGTGCGGGCTTTTTATCTTTTGGAGGGTCCAATCGAGATCGGATCTCCTCCATGAGAAGGTGAACGTCCAATACAACCGGGATCGATTTGGACTCTTGGGCCTTCTCAATCTTCTTCTGTACATAACCCCTCCAAACGTTCGGAAGGGCGGAATAGAATATGTCAAATACCCACGCGTCAGGCGGGTGAGCATCCATCATTTCCAACTTCATGATCGCGGCACGGAACTTATCAGGGGAACTGTGCACGTTAGTGACCTGAGTGCCACCAAGCGATGTGAATTCTAGGACTGCCTCTCGGCGGAGCTGGGTCTTGGGGATAGAGTATTCCTCCTCAATTGCCCGCCAGAGGGTGTAAGCAATCCTATTCTCATCATTTTTTATGAAACGTGGCCTGACGTTCGCACCCAAAGAGTTCGAAATGAACGCGTAGGTCCAACGGTTTCGGGCGTCCCAAAAGGGAGCCCATTCGGGGTCCTGCAGGGGGTTCTGAACCTGCTGCTTTTCTATTATACCCCAGCACTGCGCGTCAACCAGCTTGGTCTTCATTGACGTGTTCCATGTGAGGAAATTTGACGTGCCGGTCAGAGCATTCGGCTTGGTCATTGATTTTACATCTTCTTTGAATTGGGCGATTGCCTTGCCGACACGACTATCCGGATCATACAGATTAATTATATTCTAGTTTTTCGCCAAGATTGGCATCCCACGTGGGCGTTCGGCCCGTAGGGGTAGTAGGCGTATGGCCGGCAGATGGGATTTGGCCTGCAGCTGCCCTGCGTTCGCGGACTTCTTCTAATCTTAATTGGAGCTCAACGGTCTTGCGTTTCTCCTCTAGGGCCTTACGTCTTTCCTTTTCCATCTCAAAAGTCACCATAAGACGTTGCATCTGCTGGTCAGACACAATATCGTCGGAAAGCAAGGCCTCAGAACGTCGGGCTCCATTGTCATGATGTGAGCCCGCCTCATCAAGCTGTCGGGTAGTTCGGGTAGGATGGACAGGTCGGGCCGACGGCCTGACTGTGTCAGGAGCTGTATTCAATCCAGCTTCGAATCGGAACGGCGTTTCAGGAGGATCGGGCTCATTAATAGAGCTCTCAAATGCTCCTGGCGGGCGATCGTGAGCAGAGCTTGGGCGTGGGGGAATATCATCATCCGCCACTACTGAGCCAGAGGGCAGGACGCGAGATTGCGAGCGTGTAACGCGGTGCGTTCAATGGGGCCTAGGATCCGCCATCTTGAATCTTTTCTTTTCTTATTAAGGGCTTCTTGGATCAGGTCCTTGCCAATATAAGCTTTCGGTGGCGTCGTAGTCGCCAATCGGGTGTTTTCTTTTTTGCTTTTTTGCAACGTTGGTGCGTTCCACCCTGCAAGCTTCTCTAAGCGAGCAGCGGCGTAGAATCAAAACAAGACTTCTAGAACGCGTCAAAAGGGGTGTAATAAGACGATTTTAACGCTGAAAGGCGTATCGAATGAAGCAGTAGTTAAATAATGATTATATCGACAAGGAATCCCGAATTGGCAGCGTTGTGCGCAAAACGGGCCTCATAACCTGTGGAAGGTGTAAAGCTTGATTGATTAATTGCTAGCTAAGCGGACCATTTTATATAGGGTAAGAGCGTTACACGAGACACGTGGTTGTCTCACAAGATTCACTCTGAAATATCACAATCTGATTGAGAGCAGTGACTGATGAAATTAATTCTGATTTTTACTCAATTTTTAATGATAAACTGTCAACAGTTCTTCTCATCTGTGGCAGGCAGCAGTTTTTTTCAGATGATGTCAGTCACACAAACACAGCAAGCAAATCAGACAATAAAAATAAATGAGATGAACTTCATTCATAATCAGATTACAAAAGCATTGATGTGAAATTCTGAAATGATCACTGTAACTGAGCAGCTGATGTCAGATCTCATTTTTAAACATAATATAGAGATGTCTCTAAGAGATGGGCTACAAGAGTAATTACAAGAGTAGTGTGAAGTACGCACAAAGGATATTAGAAAGGTAGCAATCTCTATTGTTCAAAGCTAATCGCTGATCTCCTAAAATCCACGGATATCAGCGAGCATTATATAGATAATGTTGCCATCGCCACGTATCTATCGCCACGTATCTATTTCCTAATATAGATATCTCCGTTGCGCCTATTACAATGTCACTGTGATTCAAACTTATACACTGATCTGAATATCAGCATGAGCGGGACTTCAGCAATGTGACTCAATTGAAGATATTGTCTGATCTCATGCATGAGCCATTACTGATTGCCTTCACAGACAGCATGGAGCGGCTGATTCAGAGAGCATATACTTCAGTTAAAAAGCAATGAATCAATGAGTTTGATCAGATATATACAAAACTGCTGCTATTTATCCCCTCTCTTTTTCATTTTAATACCCTTTTTCTAACTGAAAGATCATGGTTAATCAAATATGTTTAACTAGATGTGCATCAGCAGGTTTCTTCAACAGTTGCAGATAAGAAAATAACTGCTTCTGATCAAATTTAAATTATCAATCTATTACATTTATTGATAAATATAGCAGTGATTAAGATACTTTGTCTTCTAAATCAGTCCACCTTCCACAGACGCGGGGTCTGAGTCGGTGAAGCTTAATCATCAATTCATCATCATTTAGCTGACAGTTTTTGATTTAATGAAGACCTCTGTAAAAGGTTTGCTTCATCAAAGCAGCTAACAGAGTCAGATAAATGAGAAAGCTTGTAAAAGATTGAATTAAATTTATCTAAATCTTTTCATTACTCTGCTGAACTACTCTCTCAAGAGAGATTTCTTCAAAAGTCTGCTGGTTGACTTTCTGACTGTGCTTGAAATGAATGTCATGAAGTGGATATTCTGAGACTCATATAACTAAATAGACTATCTCTCTGATTTGATAAAGATGGCACAGATGCTGATGATAGAGTAAGCAATTCAAATAACTTAGAATGAATAAATAAAGCACTCTGCAGATATACTGAATGTTATGTATGAATGCTTCCTTTTTTCAGAAATGACAGTCCTCTTTAATTGAATGATTCAGATGCAAATATTCAACAAGCAAATGCAAAACATCATTAAAAACTTAAAATATATTTATTAAATCAATGATCAGCAGATTTTAAACTATAAAGAGTTGCATTTAAATATAGCAGAGCTTCAGCACTTCATGCACATGCAGATGAAGTTTACACAATACAAATTTAAACAACTTGTTTTTATTTATGAAAAGAAAGTATGAGAGATGATAGTGTCATATCTGATACTGACTCAATTGACAGACAGCTTTACAAAGAATCAGCATAGCTGAAACTTTCTTCAAACACTGCAGAATTTCAATTATAAAAAATGATGATTGCTGAATTGAGTTCTTACAACAAATAAACTCTAAACAAAATGAGTAGCTGTACAGTCATCTAATCATCAAATGATCTGAAATACAGGAGTGATAGATAATTATCTACAGCAAATGAATGAATTTCTTAAACAGCTGTTTTTTATGATTTATTTCACAGAAAGTCAGCTTGTGCGGGTTATAAAATTGCTCAGCATACAACACAGTAACACAGTCTGGAGCTATCACTGCAATATTTATATTGAATATGAGTTGATGAGCATAGCGACAATCTATCACAAAGATTATAGCATGATCAACTTCATAAAGATTATTCACTTCTATCTATCAGCAGAAATTATTAAACTGATGATGTACTATTTTTGATTGATTTTATCTTTCACACAGACAGTTCAGCAGCTTGTATATGAAGACAATGATAGTTAAAAAACGCTGCAGTCATCATTTCTCTTACTGTTCGAGCATGGATCATGAAACAGCAGCCGGTTGTAAATGGTGCTTCAATGCAACGTAAAGACACATCTTCAGATCAAGTTCAATGTAATTTAAAAACAGCATGCAGTCATTATCATCTCGCGTATGCATCTGTTCTGTAAAGAGTTCAAGCAAGAATATGAGGTAGATGATGTGGCAGTAGATCAACAAACAATTAATGAATTCTGAGCTGCAGATACAATATATGCAGAGAGATTGCAGAAAAAATCAAATCATATTAAAAAACAATATATATAATACTGAGCTGTCAGTTGGTGGTGGCATGAATTTCTGAGATTTAACTCTGACTCAGAGGTATGAAAGTGAGCACAGAACATGAAAAAGAGTGTTAACAGAAAAATTTAAAAACAGCAGCTATCATATATAACAGTAGAAATATATGATAATCGAAAGTTATACATGGTAAAAAATATATATTTTTCTCATGCAATTCATTACAATCAGATTCTCAACTTCAGCAGCTAGTTATTAATTATGATCAGATTTCCAACTTCAACAGCTAATCATCATCTTGATAAATTTCAATACAAACTAACCTTTTACCTTTATTATAAAATGATATTATAATTAATAAATTAAACTGCAATTTTTATTGAGGTATATCTGTCATCATACCAGATCATATAAAATATATATATTTTAATAAACAACGCATCACAACCAGATCTTAAACTTCAGTAACCAGTTATATTATATATACAGAGTATAATATTTAATTTCAAGATAATTTCATCAGAAAACTATATTATTATAACATTAAAATAAATAAATTGTTTTGCAGAGCTATTAAAGTTAAATATGTATATTTCAACTGAGCAACCAGTCATCATCAAAACATTTCCAGATCAGAAAACAGCTTGTTAAAGTATTATTATCAATTAATTAAAGTGTAAACATTCAGACGGTGAGTACGCGGCCGCATCCGGCCCTCGCCCCCTCGCCCCCTCGCGCCGCTTCCCGAACGGGCCTGGCGTGCCGCCGTCGACCCCGCCCATTGGCCGCGTCGACCCTGCCGTCGCCCGTTCGGGTTTGGCGCCCCTCGAGCTCGCCGCTTTGAGTTACATCATCGTTCTGTTCCGGGAGCCTATATAAGATCGCTCCTCTTCCCTCTTCGACCACGCACCTTCCATCTTCTCAAATTGTTTCCCTCCTCGCCTCGCTCCTCCCCTTTCCCCTTGCCGCTCCCCCCTTTCGCCCTCCCACAGCCTGCTGCCGAGCTTCCTTCCCGAACCGTTTCGCCCTCGCGGCTCCTTTCCCCCACTCCCTCCCCTCAAACGAAATCGCTTCTAGGCTCCCCGTCAGCGCCCCCCTTTCCCTCTATTTTCTGTCTTCTTGGAAGGACCGCGTCAATCTAAAGATTACATTTACACAACACACACACCGCCTCTGCTTGAGGACAACAGGCTTTACTCTCTGAATATTTTCCCTCGCTCCCTTTGTGTCTCTTTGTCTCCCTGCAAGGGGTTTTTCTCCGAGTCTCGTGCGATAACATCCCCATTTCCTCACATTTCTTCTTCTAGCTCTCTTTTCCATTCGGACTCCAATTTCGGCACATGCGCTATATGCTATTGACCAATGGCAGAAATCCCTCACGTCGGCGAAACCCGAGGTTGCTTGGATCCAACATCCCGCCAGGGGCGTAGTGACACTCGGCTGGACACTGGGATGTAACATGGGAGGCGTGTTCCTGCAATTGCGGGTGCATTCTCGTTGTGCTCTTGGCCAATGGCAAAAATCCCTCATGCCGGCGAAACCCGAGATTACGTGGATCCAACGAGCCCCCCTTCCCTGCGACGTAGCGAGATTACGAGGAACGCGACTGAACACTATGAGCTGACGTGGGAGGGGTGTGGACGCAAAATGCCCCCTTCGCTGAGCATCCGGCTGGTATCGATACTTGCATTGGCTCCTCTGAAATGTTGGGCCGTGCATCCTTGTATCCAAGCGCGGTATTCCGTCCCCAGGCCCACGATTCTGTTGATTGGTGAGGGATGTCGGCAAACCTGACGCTGAGCTGTTTCCAGCCGAGGGGGGCGAGGGAATATCAGGGGCGCAGTGATCGTGTGATGATGAGACGGGGCCTCCTGCATGATCCAAGGGCGTGGGCGCCAGCGCATGTGCCTGTTATTCCGTACCTAATTCGTCGACGATTCTACGCCCCCATGACCAATCTGTGTTCATCCTCTTGGATAACGCCAGCTTGCCTCGCTCGTTTCCGGGTGTGTGCTCGATGGTGAACTTTCGATGATCCTTAAGCTCAGGCCTGATCAATGGCGTGGTCCGGAGGAACCCTGGCTCGATGTTGCATTCGTGTGTTGCATGGCGATCGATTACTATTTTGCGGGTGGTTCTCGGTGTTGAAGTGAGGAGGTGAGACGTTTTCCGAAAATGCTGGGGTGTATCCACGAGACCTTCGTAAACTTTGGGAGCTCTGCCGATGGAGGAGCTTTTCCAGTTGTTGCTCTATAAAAGCGCCGGATTTTCCCCTCTCAAAAAGCACCGATTGCAGAACGAGAATCAAGGCTTCCCCGAACCCAAAATCAGAGAGAAAAGCCATGGCCGCAGTCACCATGGACAAGATCCAATTCTATCAACCTCCAAATCCCATGAGTGCAACCAAGCCACGAAGCCCCAACCTGCCCGCCATCTTCACACCCCCCAAACCCCCAGCACGTAGACCCAATCCCACCGCCGACACTCTCACTGCCCTACTCTGTCCCTCACAGCAGCTCAGACATCCTTTGCCCCCTCGCCTATTCCCCTCTGATACACCTCTCATCTCTTCTCGCCCTGCAGGCCAACGGTCCCAGCCACCCGAAACTCCAGAAAATGACTTTGACAGAATTTTGGATGAGATCTCGTCGGACGACGGGAGCCGACCACTTGGCGGGGACGGGAGAAATGCCGACGAGCGCGCCACCATCCCCTCCGGATCGAATCTGAGCGGTTTTGCCAGCGAACGCCTTGGCATGCCTGTCGAGGCGGATACGGCTGTGGAAAATGCCACTGAAGCCGGCCTTCGCGCATGCCGGTTGGGTGGAAGTAAAGGTCCGTCTTGAGACTCGTTCACGATATGTATTTTCGACCCGCTAGCCTCGGCCCTATTTCAGATGGCCCCATCGTGGTAGATGTGGTAGATGGATCGATGGAGATAGTCCACGGTGATGAACCTACAAGCGAGTCTGCAGGTGGACAGACTTCCCCGCCACCGCTGCCTGCTCGCGAGGCGCCCACCGATCATGGTGACGAGCTGGACGGGGTGGCGGATGGTGGTAGATCCTCATTCACTCCCCGAGAAATTCCAGGTCAGCTTTTCAGCAGCTTCAATTACCGTCCCGCGTTTTCCCGCTGATCTTCTACTACATGCAGAAACCCCTCCCCCTCTTACCATGGACGAAGTGGGCGCTTCCGCCGGCGCACCCCATGCCGCCGCACCCCACGCCGCCGCACCCCACGACGACGTCTCTCCACATCCAGGGAGTCGGCGTCAAATCTCAGCTGGCCATGCCGGTGCGACACAGGAGGAGTGGCGGGTCAAAAAGATACTGGACTCCCGGATCCGCGTGCGGAAGGGCAAGCCAATTTTGAAGTACCGTGTTGCATGGCAGTCTACGTGGCAGCCGCGGAGCGATTTGACCCCGGGCTGCGAGGAGCTGGTCAAAGAATTTCATGCAGAGTGGAAGGACGAGCGGCCTTCACTGACTACTCTGACAGGCCACATGCGTTTCAAGCAGAAAAGGAGATCGCGCAGGGACGGTGGACCCAAGATTTTAAAATCAATTGATTAGAATCTTTGTCTGTGTAACATGCCAATATCAATTTCAGTTCTGACTTATTCCGTACTTTGCCTGTCTTGATTGTCTTCTTGTTTGCTTTGGATCCCTTTGTTTGATCTTTGCTTGCTTGGCATATTTGATTCCGGCCCACGAGCTCCATTGACATCGCCTATCACATTCCGGCCCAAAGGTCTATCATGCCTATGCCCATAGTATGGCACTTTCTTTGGGTGTGTTCCTTTGTTTGTGTCTTTGTTTGCTTGCTCTTCCCCCTCCTTTCTTTGCCTAGATCCGGAGAGAAGTATAAAAGCCTCCTCGGTTCTGGGTATCTATATGTATATTCTTAAAGCGTAATATATCATACGCCGCAAATCGACAAGATATTCGCATCTCAGCAGAAACCCCGTCGCTCTTCTCACCTGTGATAGAACAAGAGCAATCATTAATTCTATTTAGTATCAATTAGAGCTCAACTATCATCGCCTCAAACCTTTTTGGGCCTTGCGGCATTCCAACAATCTCAAAGTACACCTCGTATGACTTTCCAGAAAATCAATCTTTTCGTCAAAGATGCTATATTAAAAGACAAAACAAAGAGAATTCACGCTATCAATACGTAGAATCTTTACTAGTTTACAGCATCTGAGTTATCCTGTGCATGCTGAAGTGTTCCAATCATGTTCCGGGATAGAAGTTGTAAGGGGAGAAATATGCTCGTCACCACCTACAGGAGCAGAACAAGCCTAGAAAACGGAAGCGGGGACAGCAACAGGAGGACCCCTCTCAGAAGCGGCAAAGGGTACCAAATGAACGCCTGCGATCATAACGTTCTTGGAAGGAATGACTGAAATACAACGCTCCTGAGGATCTAGGGGGCAGATTTCATATCTTCCGATTGCTGACAGCACGACACTTGGTGCACGTAATTCTGGCTACGCAGCAAGGTTTGCTAAAGGCGGGCCGAGGGGGGATTCCTTTGGGGGTTTTCTAACCCAAATTTTCTTTTTCTCTTTTAGTTTTCCAATTCATGTGGTTTGTTTCTACGCTATTATGTTTTCCGGATTGTCTCTTGTAGCTTTCCACGAACTTTCTGTTAAGCTTGGCGCTACTCTCTGTCGCTCGCTATTTTATATGTTGATGCTAGAAGCTATGTTTCTGTTTGTTGTGATCCGAAAAGGCTGTGCATTTTTGGTCGCGAGCCAGTTTCTGTTCCTAGATTTCAGAATTATGTGCAATGATGTCATTGAGAAATTTTGTGTCTTGGCAGTGCGACCAGGAGCCAGCATGGATGAGACTCAGATTGAAGCGTGTCTGAACAAGGAAGTTTATGAGATAAGGAGAGTAGGTTGGACAGCGTGCTCGAGCAAGGAGCTCTCTTAGGCTAGGAATACCCTTCCACTTCATTACAGGTGTAGTGAAATTAGTGAAACAAAAATTAAAAAAACGTGGAGTACAGGCGCGAGGATTACAATGTCAAGAAAGGAAATTATTGATCACAAGTTCGACGAATCGGTCATTTCAAGTCTTGTATCCCAAAGACAGTCTCGATGTGTTGAAGCTCTTTGCTGAAACAAGTTGACATCACTTTCCTCTTTCTTGCAACGTTGGTGGACACATCGGAGAGAGGCCGCTGTATAGTGGCTAGTTCAAAATCAACCACCCTCACACGTTCGCAGGCCTGGTCCCATAGTATATTTCGCGGCTCCGCGTCGCCATGGAGAATCCCCCTCGAGTGAATGGCTTGGAGGGCACGGCATACCGTGGACCGTTTATTCGCGGGGCTAAGCGTTCCAGCTTTTTCGATCGATTCTCCCGCCCAACTCAGAAGTAAAATATGGGTGTGGATTTTTTCTTCATGGTAATAGGGGCGCTTTGGCTCCAATTTGACAACGCCAAGGCAGACCGGGATGCATTCGCCTTGGAGGTCTCGGAGCTGATTGTAGACATTCCTTTCATGCTGGAGTTTATCTTTATCCTTGGATTCCACGGCCTTGGCGACCAAGGTGTACCCATGCGACGAAAGTCTCACTTTGAGCAGTGTGCCGCAACTTCCTGCCTTGTAGAGCGGACGACAGTCGGCATCCGGGCCACGGTCCCTAGCGAGCTGTTTCCGGATATGAGAACGGAAGTCTTCCACCTTCATGTGACCCTTCCGATGGTCCTGGTAATTGGGGCAGAAGGGATCAAATGGGCTGCCGTCCCTGAGCGCAAGAAGACATTGCTGAGAACAGTATGGGCGGTCCTTGATGGCCGGTGTGTGGATGACATTGGACATGCGCCTGGTATCACTGGGTTTGCCGGGTGCCGGTACGCCTGTGGACCTTCCATCTGACCTAGTGGAACCTCCCCTTCTGGTTCGGCCACGGAGGCCGGAGTGCGGTGTAAGGGAAGGGGATGGGGGAGGAGACGGCGAGGGGGAGCTTGTCGGTCGAGGTTTGTTTTCAGAGGGCCGACATCCGGATCGCAGCGTCATCCTGAAGGGAGAAAGGTTGCGAGGGCGTCTGCCGCGGTACAATGGGGAGGCATGTTTCAGGCGAGCGGCAGGTGGAGTCTGGTCTAGGATGTCGGAATACTCCACGGGCCAGACATCAAGCCCATCAGCGGCATCGCTCCACTGCTGGGGAACTGGTGGCGAGGTCAATGCTCTGATGGTGAATGCCAGGACCTGCGCGACGGCTGTCCACTGGAGATCATCATCGTCGGTCCCCTTGACATCCCGATCCGGTATGCAAAGCGCACACTGAACTGAAGACGGATCGTCCGGGATGTACACAAAGATGAAGGCTTCTCCGGTGCAGACGTAGCCGTATCGTACGCGTTTGCGCACCATGTAGGAGAAGAGCTGGGTGATGACCGCGGCAACGAGTCTTCTACAGCAGAAGGTAACATCCTCGGACTCCTGGCCGATCACATCCCGGGCGGGTCGGATCTCTTCACTCAGTCCTGTGGTCATCTCGGCCTGCGTGAGTTTGTGAGGTGCCTTATATTCAATCGCGATCGCGGGGATGTGTTCGTCGCCATCCTGCCGGTAGATACAGAAGCGATCCGCTTGCCCTCGTGTGACTGCGGTGGACTCCTCCTTTTTCTTTCGACCTCTGCCCTTACCTTTGGCCGATGGTGCAGTCTCTGGGTTGATTGACAATTTCTCCACCCCTTCGCTCAGCGAGCTTTCCTGTGCACGTCCTAGGTTTGTATGGCTCTCGAAGGTGATTGAGCCTCGCAGTCCAAACGCCTCCTTGAGAGTTTCGTCTTCGGTGATCCGATCGACGATTTTGCGAACCTGGTTCTCTACCGCCTCTCGTTCGTAGTATCGAAGATCCGATTCCGAAGTGATCGGGGTGATGAACTGGAGGACATACTCGAGCTGATGTTTTGACGGAAACTGCTTTTTCGTCAGAAATAAAGGATGATCATTGAGGATCCTCCAGAACGCCTCCTGTTTAGCAAAGAAGTCGTCCCATATTATGATGCGCGAAGGAACCCTCCGATTGGTTGGCTTTGTTACGGTACCCTGAGTGGTTCTTGTCGGGTCTGTCACGATGCAGATGGCGAGTAAGAGCTCGTGGCAGCCGCGGAGGTGGGATGGAAATGTGGTAAGCTGGGAATCTGCAGTAAGGCTCTCTGCTTCTTCGCGTCGTCGCTGTTCCTCTTGTCGTAGTCTTCTTTCTTTTTCCGCCTGTGCTTCCGCAATTTCTCGTAATGCCCGTTCTTCTTCTCGTAATGCCCGTTCTTCTTCTCGTAATGCCCGCTCTTCTTCTCGTAATGCCCGCTCTTCTTCGAGTTCAGCCAGTAGCTGTTGTACTCGGCTGTCCATTCTGTGACGCCGTTCCTACCAGGCCAGTGCAGGCAAGATGTTGAGTTACAAAACTTCGCTATGGCTTATTCTGGGTTAGAATGTAATAAGGATTTTTAGAAGTCCTCGGTGCAAGGGTAGCAGCACGCTGGAGTATTGTTCTTTGTTGGGATAAGTCATTTGGCAAAAGTAAACAAACGAGTCACATGATACGGAACATGAAATTCCCGAAGCCGCGAATATATTCAAACAGGTATGGCTGGGATGAGGGCTCGCAAAGTGCTTCTCTATATTTCGTTAAAGGTCTGCCTCATCATCCTGTCCGATTTCATCCAAACGGGTTGCAAGCGAGTCGAACTTGGAATAATATAATAATCTAGTAAAGCATCGAGGGGAACGCATTGCTGCCCAACGGAATGGACTATCTTTAACCCGGCTGTGATCAATACTCTCTGCCTTGGCATTCTCGTCGTACTTTACGACAAGCTCTATCCAGGCATGCTCTCTCCAAGAGCAAGCGAGAATGATAACGACCCAGTGGGAGCCAAAATCAACCACATGACCTTGGCACAATTTAGTCATTTTTCTGCCACAGCTTGCTATATCCCTATCTTACTAGAACCTGTTGTCACCGTCTGGGATCTCACATCGCTAGGTCCCAATCATTACGAGGACGGGTTTATGGAAGCGTGGTGGACCTTGCAGAAGTGATTTGTCAATAGTTAAAACAAATGGTGAAACATGATCTATCTGTATCGACTTGACATGCTCTACAAGTCGCTATTAGATTTTAGGATCAACAAGACTGCGATTCAAGCCGTGGCCCTTGCGGAACAATAAGTCGTGGCGCCGAAGAAAGTCGAAGCCCGGCCGGTTTAGTCAACTTTCTAGAATTGAAGGACCAAAGCACTTCGTTTCCCTTCCTCAAGGTATCCGCGTCTCAAGCTTTCAGCCCATTCTTCATAAGTTCTTCTCCATTCCATCGCCATGGCTGTGACTTCAGCGTCATTTGATCTGGATCTTAACCACTGTTCAATGTCACCCGACCCGCCTGCATATACCCGGTCTATCGTGAAACTGGGCTCCCTCACTCTCCCTAACTGCCGAAAAGGATCCAACAACGGTAACGTGTGGTGGATAAACCCAGCACTGTATGTGCCCTGATTCAAAAACAAATACGACTCGAGATAAACATGGAGTTTGACGAGGTTGAAATCGCGGAGATGTGATGCAATGAGCTGAATGTTTTTTACCATTGGCCCATACTGTACCGAAATATCACACGAAACATCGAGTTGAAAGGTAATTTGTTTAAACCGCTGCCAGGAACCAGGTTGGATTGGGTGGAAATATCTTCCCAAGATGCACACATACTCACCAGACAAAAAGAAATTGCATACAAGAGTTCGGTAGAGGACATCAGTTGCGTCCTGAAAAATCCGACGATTCAGACGCGCCAGTTTCAGGAAGGCGTAATATGTGTAAAATTTCGAATAGCTACCCTGATATTTGTCAAGAATATATGAGAAAATTTGTTGGCGAAGTTCGATTGGCAGACGCAGAATGTAGCATGGTAAGGCGAAATCTTTGTGTTCGAAACAAAGCTGTATTTCGGTCCAAGGAATCTTTTTGCGGCATTTGCCTTTGCCCCCAATCACCGCCTGGCAAAAAGTCACCGTGAACCCGAGCTCTCTATGAGCACGCTGGCAGTCCTCGCCGCGCTCGGAAGAAACTCGATTTGTAAACTCGGAATCCGCAGCACGGCCCTCTGCTTCTTTGTGTCGTCGCTGCTCTTCTTGTCGTAGTCCTCTTTCCTTTCCCGCCTGTGCTTCCGCAATTTCTCGTAATGCCCGCTCTTTTTCGAGTTGAGCCAGCAGTTTTTCTACTTGGCTATCCATCCTAGGGTTGAAGACGCGCCCAGTAATTGTTACATTCCCTCGCAATACATCTTCTGCTGACCGTCGATTAGGCACCAATGCGTGATGTGGAGCAAGCGACCTCGACTGGTGTGCATGGGCGACGAAAAATAGCACGTCGAACGTAACCAGATCCATCCTCCCTCCTTTCAGAAGCAGAAAGGCTGGCACTATTTATCTCAGCGAGCTCAGACCCTCTATGGCTCCGGTTGCAGCAGCATGACACTAAACTACTTTAATTACAAGTCATGTGCTCAGAGCAATCTTCGCAGGATAATTGCACATCACGGGATCAAAGAATTATTTGGGTTAGCTCATTACCAATTTGAGATTAGCTTGTTTAAAAGAGTGACTAATCATTAAATCAGTGTTAAAACTGTAGGTGGATACTGTTGGGCACTAGTTGCCCAGGCGGCCCTCCACCGCACGTGATTACCCCTATATATAGTTAGCTAGCGATCGCACAATGAGAAGATCAACCATCCCACAGGTTATGGCCCGGATTGCAGATTTTTAAGAAAAACAGACGTTTTGATTAGAATACGCTGCGACTGATGTTATATTGGATGAGTTAAACATTATTCCCCTGAAAAGAGAGCTCTTTGCCTATAAAAGTGGTGTAATTGACGGAATTGCTGTCGAGACTGCTGCAGAGATTTCATTACTATCTTGAAGGGATCAAAAACTTATTTATTTATTTTCATTCAGAACCTCCCTAAGTCAGATTGATTATGAGTGGTTCTCGATTACCTGCGACCCCAATATCAGGACGTAAGAAGACACTACGTTCGCAATCAAGGGTCCCCCAATCCTTCCCCCCTATTACTGAGCAAGAATCCGGCTCAGAAGCGGAGGGTGATCAAACTGAATACGCGATGGCAGAGGAAGATATGACAACCTCTGGCTCCGCACGCGATACTGGCAAGATGCCAGAACGCGAGGAATCCGAGGATGGCACGCCCAGTCCTATGCCGATACCTACGCCGAATCCTAACGGCATGGTGACCATGGCAGCAGCAGATCTCATTGCACTCTGCGAGCGACTGATATCAGCACGCGCGCCGCCACCTCCTCCACCTCCTCCGAACCCTATACCAGAAGAAGATCCGAACATGCTGGCTCGCGAATACCAGAAGGAAGCGCAGGCCTCGTTGAACACAAAGTCCGTCACCACGTTCGATGGCACCAACTACCAGACGTGGAAGATGGCGTTCTTGTCAGATGCAGAAGTGATCGGTGGTGCAGATATTCTTAATAAGAACCAACAGGAACCACCTGAAGGTTTATCATCGCTCGATCAGCGATATTGGGTGATACGTTCAAAACTTCTCTTCCGTCGCATGTTGCAATCCCTAGTAGGTTCTGTCCGTTTGACCATGGGATCCATTCAACCCGACAACGCGGCGGCCCTATGGAACAAGGTAAGCGCAGTATACGCGATATCCCTAGGGGAAGAAAGGATTAACATCCTTAAAGAATTTACCCACTTGCATGTCAAGGACGGTGATTACCTGGCGTACGTACGCCGATATCAATACCTGTCTGCTCGCATGCGACAACTAACGGAGGACCGTGGTGAGAACTACCTCCATGATTTCTTTATTATCGGCCTCCGAGATTATCAGAGGACCTATGTTAAATCACGCCTCGATACGTTCTACGGGACGGGTCAGGGTCCGATTGTCAACCTAGATATCAACGATCTCACAAAACAAATTGCTCACCGGATGAGTAAATCAGAGGGTACTGGACGCCCTAAAGCTCCAAAGGCCAACGCGGCCACCAATGATAATGACAACACAACTTCCGCCGCAACCGCAAAGTGCGGATACTGCAAGGTCCCAGGGCATATAAAGGCTAATTGCTATCATCTGAACCCTGACAAAGCGCCCGAGTGGTGGAGGAAAGAGAATAAGGATAATAAGGGCACTGACAACACTGAAGGTGCCAAAAAGAAGGGAAAGGATAAGAAGAAGGACAAGGATGACGACAAACCTACTGGCACCAGAGCGCCAGATCTCCTTGCATCGCAACCTAATGCCAACGCAGCAATTGCTTTATCTACGTCGTCCGCTACAACATCCAAACCTTGGTATCTCGACACCTGCGCAAGCTTCAATATGACGGGTGAAAGGCACTCGTTGGTGCGCGCAAAGTCGTTCGAAGGTGATTTAGAAATTACTACCGCGGACGGTGGCGTAGGACGGGTTGAGGAGATAGGTGATATCCTTCTAGAATCAGAAGGGGGGGATATCTCAGTGGGTTACGTCCACTGGATCCCCAATCTAACAGTCAACCTTCTATCCTTTGCGAAGCTAGAAGATCAAGGCTTCAGATACCAACTATCAGATACCACCCCTTCCTATTTTACAATAAGGGCCCCGAACGGTGCCAACTTCACCGCTGTTCGCACGTCCAAAGAATCGGTCTACAAGATAATAGAACGAGAATCTCAAATAGACGTCCATCACCCGTCCCAGGCCGTCCATTTTATGGCCAAATCTTACAATTACGGGGACGCAATGTCGACAATCGCGGGGAAACCTAACGATCAACCTAGCGATCGCAACCCCCTGACAAGAACACTCATGGAATGGCACGTCACACTAGGGCATATCCACGCTGGCGCGATCATTGCACTAGCGAAGGACCCATCATCCGGCATCCGCATCAAAGGATCTAAAACAGGCTTCTTCTGCGATAGCTGCGTCAAAGCAGGCATGACACGCAAGTTCTCGCAAACTCCCATGCCACGAGCGTTGCGAGCAATGCAACGTGTTCATATCGACCTTGCTGGCGGTGGTCGTACGCTGGATGACATGTCCGATTACCCTATCGAATCTCGTCAAGGGACCAAATATTATATGCTCATCACCGATGACGCCACCCGCTACAGGTGGATCTATTTTTTACATACCAAGGACCAAGCTGTCGAAATTTACGCTCACTGGGTCCAATTCATGAAAAATCTCGGCTTCACGCCACCGGCGCTAGTTAGGACTGATATCGATGGTGTCTTTCGATCTAACAAGATGACAACAATGATGACCAAAGATGGCACTATCTGGGAACCTACTACGCCCCAATCTCCCCACCAAGATGGTGTTTCTGAGAGAGGAATCCGTACGATAATGACACGCGCAAGGGCAGTGCTTTTAGGCATGAATATACCGAAGAAGTTCTGGGCAGACGTTCTCGAAACGGTGGTTGCAATTACCAACAACACACCAACATCTACCACCCTGTATAATGAGAAATACTGGCCTACCAACAACGCCGACGAAGCACCTTCGCGATGCCCCTATACGGTCCCATTCTCAGCACTAACCAACGCCCCGCCCCAACTTCGCCATTTTAGGGAGCTAGGTGTTGATGTTTACGCGCACCTTCATGGATCTCAAAAACCTACTGACAAGCTGTCCGCTAGGGCAGAAATTTTTAAACTTATAGGATTCCGTGGTAACTCAATCTACCGCCTCTGGAGTCCTACAACTGATAAAATAATTGTCACCAGTGATGTCGTTTTCCCTGCAAAGGAACCTACAACCTCGCAGGATGACACTAACCACACGACACCCGAACCTGCAAGTCCAGCGACTTATCTTGTTGATGATACTACCGTTCCTGAATTAGCTGACGCCGAATGGGTAAGACCAGCGAAAGCGTTCGCCACCTACGTTCCTTCTCCCCTCACCGGTTCCGTTCCGAAAGGATATAAGGATGCCGTTAGTAGACCTGGGGGGGTTGGCGAATATTGGCAGAAATCGATGGAACGCGAGATTGCAGATTTGGAACGAAGGAACACTTGGACAATGATCCCACGTTCTGACGTCCCTTCTGGTGAGCCAGTGGCCCCCGGCCGCTGGGTTTATGTCGAAAAAGATCGCCCCCAGGATCCCAACGCGGATCCTGATGGTATATTACGAAAATCTCGATGGGTAGTGTGCGGTAATTGGTTAAAGAAAAGCGCACGCGAAGAAACATACGCGCCCGTCGTTAATGACGCTACTAATCGCATGATGTTCGCGATAGCAGCGAAGCGAGGTTGGACCTTGCGCCAGGTCGATATAGTGATGGCCTACCTACACGGCCGACTTGGTAAAACGATTTATATGCGGCAACCTACCGGATTTGAGGTGGGGACTCCACACGCGATGGTTTGCGCTGTCGGAGGCTCCCTATACGGATTGGACCCTGCTGCTAAGATTTGGTACGATTTCCTTACGGCATTACTCCGCGAGAATGGCTTCAAACCTAGCCCCTACGACCCTGCTCTATGGCGCCACACGTCCCGCAATCACCTTTATATGACAATCTACGTGGACGACCTTCATATTATAGCAGAGGATCCGGCAGATGCCGATTGGCTAGTTGACACCCTCGCCAATAAATTAGAAATAAAGGATTTAAAAGAACCTTCAAAATACTTAGGCATGGAGGTTGAACGTCGCCCTGATGGTGCTATAAAATTGACATTGAGACGCTATATCGATCGTTTAGTGCAAGATTTCCGCCTAGATGACGCCGTCCCTGTCCCTACACCAATACTTGAAGGGTTGAAGATAGACGATACCCCTGTGTCAGAACGAGAAGGAGGGTTCACCAAAAAGCGATACCAACACGGAGTAGGGTGCTTGCAGTATCTGGCAGTCAAATTACGCCCAGATATTGCGCGAGCAGCATCCCTACTAGCGCAGAAGAATACTGCGCCTACACCTAAGGCGTGGAGGGCTCTCCTCCGCGTCATACAATATCTAAAAGGAACGAGCGACCTTGGCATCTTATACGAAGGCCCCAAGAACGAGATCGATGAATTCCCCAACGCGTCATATCTGCCGATAGGTTATACAGATTCGGATTGGGCAGGACCGTTGAACGGCGAACGCAAATCTACTTCAGGCTTCATATTCAAGTTAGCAGGTGCACCAATTTCATGGCGTTCGTCCAAACAACCTTGTGTTTCTTTAAGTTCAAATGAGGCAGAATACGTGGCACTTAGCGAAGCAGTACGCGAAGCAACGTGGTTGCGCAATATGATGATGGAACTAGGATTCGTTACAGCAAAGGACCCCTTGCCTATCAGGGCAGATAACAAAGGTTCAATCGACCTAGCTACCGTTGCCGCGATCACGGCACGCAGCAAGCATATCGACACTCGCTTCCACTATTCTCGCACGCAATTGAACGAAGGCGTTATTTCTATTAAACACGTTCCCACTGAGGATATGGTAGCAGACGGATTAACCAAACCTCTGGGCACAGTGGCATTTAGGCGTTTCATTGATTTACTAGGACTTTTCGCTGGTAACAGTGAGAATGATTAAATTTCTGTATGTAGCATGATTTTGGGATGATCCAAGTTGAGATAGCTAGCATGGAAGATTCGTAGGAACACATCACGCACGTTGGCGCGTGGGGGGGTGTTGGGCACTAGTTGCCCAGGCGGCCCTCCACCGCACGTGATTACCCCTATATATAGTTAGCTAGCGATCGCACAATGAGAAGATCAACCATCCCACAGATACTACGGCTACCCTAGATCACGTGCTCCCCAATCTTATTTAGTTGTTGCTCGGCTAGTTAGTTTTAATACATAACAACGTTCATTCTATGAGGTTATGAGTGCCCTCTACGCAACGAAAAGCTGCAAAATAACGTGCTAATTACGTCTCCACGCTTCGTTAACGCGTGCCTAGACGCTCTTATGATAATTTAATCCATGGTTAATCTCAGATCGGGTTCAACGCCTGATTTGACGCAGGAGTACGTTCCTCCAAGAAGAAGGCGAGGTGATCAACAAACTCCTGAGAACGAAACGCCAGAGCCCAGAGGACCCTTGCCAACGCCGGTGACGAACCGCAAGGCGACCCCTGGTGCCTTCGAACCAGACGACACGATCGTCGAATCGAACGAGCAAAACGAATCGAACGAATCGAACGAAGAATTTGAGGATCCGATTGAAGGCATCAACGAGATGTCAGGCAATACGGGTGGCCAGAGCGCTGGCTCTGGCTCTGTGAGTGAGGAGACTCGTATGAGATTAGAAATAGCTCGGCTTCAGCACGAGGTCGAACGAATGAAAGCAAGCAGGGGTGAATCCTCTGTCAGTAATGAAGAGCTCAGTGCAGATTTGGCGAATTATCTTCAACGGAAAGGTAGAACGTCTGCAATAGTAAAGATCCTTGGTGAATTCAGGGATCAGGTAAGGCCTATCAAGAAGCCTATCGTACTCACTGGCTCCGCGAATTACCCAATGTGGAAAGAAGAGATCCTCCTCGCAGCGAGGCAATCTGAAACGGATGACATTCTTAATGACAAGCAAATTAGTCCTGACGAGGATGCCAGCAAGGATATGCAACGTTTTTGGTCAGAACGGAATATCTGGCTATACAACTACATGTGGTCTGCGATCGCCCCGCAGGCCAAATCTCACTTTATTATACCCAAGGAGTCCCAACTATCTGCTTATTCTCTATGGTCTGTCATAGAAGATAATTTCGCTGAGAGGCCTGCTGTTCGCAGGACTCGCCTGTTCCAAGAATTGATTGAGATGACGTCGAAATCAAAGGGTTCTGATCGCGCGTTTATCGAACGTTTGATCGCAATTAGGACTGATTATATCCGCTTAGGATATAATGTTGAAGATTTCATGTTTTTCGACAGACTCCTTACGGGGGTTAGCAAAGGTTGGTCCTCTTTTATAAAGAACCGAATGGACGCAATAGAGAAAGATGAGAACGCCAGAACGCTCGAAGACGATTTCATGGGATTATGTCGAGATATTCTCCTACGATTGCCAGCTGCTGGTGAACCTCCTACCTTTGATGGGAAGACCCCTACGAATAACGCCCAAGATTCCAATAAGAAGGATAAAAAGGATAAGGAGAAGGAGAAGGTCTCTGAGGACAAGGACAAGAATTCTGCCAAGCCGGAGAAGAAAGGTAATAACGCTGCCAAAGCGTGTTATCATTGCCAAAAGGTTGGCCACGTTCAAACAGATTGCTGGTCGAAATTTCCTGAAAAACGCCCTACTAACCGCGGCGGAGGTAAGGATAAAGATAAGGATGGTACAGGCCCTGCGCCGGTTCATAATGTCGTTGAGCAAGTATTCCATACGACAGAGAAGGCGTATTCTACTGGCCAAACTGGCAAAGATACCTGGGTCCTGGACTCCGGATCAGGAGCTCACGCTACGCCTTGCAAAGATCTCATATCGATAGTGCCGCAGAAGGTTAATGTCATATTGGAGATGGCCGACGGATCGACGGCTCCTGCAACGGCTATAGGGAAGGTGGATATACCAGTAGAAGGAGCGAATCTGCCGCTGCAGGACGTCCGCACGTCCCCAAATTGGAGGTTAATCTTATGAGTTTTGGAAAGCTCGTACGCCAGGGCTATACTTATAAGCAACTAACCTACGGGAACACTCATTCGATCTTGCTTCTAGTACCACATTGACAGGCTAAGGCCAACACCACAGATATAGAAACTTCTACATATTTTAGTATGAGATGATAAAGCAGCCTCTATATCCAACAGGTGGGGGTGGAATGGACGTCCATTCCATTCAGGGTTAGAAAACCGACCAATCAGAGCAGGGCAGATTGGACGTACATTCCATTTGGTTTCAGACGTTGAACGTCCAATCAACCACGGAGTCAATTGACTTCAAACTTTGCATGTAGGCCGTAGTGGATATGAAATACAACATATCCAAATCAAAAGCGATAATTCCGCCGGGAAGGGGTTAAATTTTAGTGTCAAAGTCAATGAGTTGAGGTGCGATGTTTGATGGGGTAAGCCATCAACCCAACCAGACCCAACTAAATATATATATTTTCACCCCAGGCAACGGAGCGGCGCAAAGCGGTGCAAGATCAACAAAGTAAATAAAAATAGCAAAATATATAAAAAAACGGAAAGGCTTCATTCTGGAGTGATTTTAATCACAGAAAAACAAACATTAGTCGAACACGCTGGACCCAAACCAGTTGGACGTCAAACCCGTCCAACCAGGAGTCAGAGATGGAGAGCCAGCAGGGTGAAACCCACATCAGATAACAGCACATGCAGTCCCAGAATGGCCAGATGTGTGAGCAAGAGCACAGACAACAACATAAATGAAAGCATCACCAAGAATGAGGCTTCAACTATCCCCTCGTCCGTAGGTTTGTGCAAAATTAGCGTGGTTTCATTAGTGTATATTATACGAGATCTCATTGAATAATCAGTGTATTTTTGAGTATTCATTGGTATTAGTGTAATATATAAACCCTAATTAAGGATCGTAATAGATATTAGGATATACTATGAAATTCCGCCCAACATTGAGTTTTCAAACATAAAAGGGTATTTTGACACTCTGAACAGTCAGAATTTGATCTCCCTATCTTTTTATATTTCTGCTGGCCAATCTTTCATTTATATTGACACCAGGCACAAACACGCTGCTTTGGAAGAGAAATCCGTTGATGATTTAGATTAGAATTTGATCATTCCCTTGATAGATTATCATGAATCTAGATGTGAATTCAAAGAGTTCCTGGTAAAGCTTCTCATGAAAGCTTATATGAGAAGAAAGATCCTTCACTGAAATCCTCTGCTGCTTCATATATAGATATTGAAGCCGGTATGCATTAATAGCTGCGGAATCAATAAGTCAGTAGAGAATAGAAAGCCAGGTGTGATAGATGACTCTATGACTAGTATATGCTGCTCAGTATTGATTTGCTAGATGTACCCCATTCATATGATGATTATAATCACCTATAATCAATGGGTTATTCAGCTTCTTTTGTGATTGACCTTTAAAGACTTTTCTAACAATATTGACATTGATTGAGAGTTCCCCTGAGCATTTACAAGTACATTCAATAACTGCGTCCAATGAATGAATCGTAGTTAGTGCCAATACCATATTATTATCTTGCCAGGCAAGACAGAGAACATTCTCTTTTTCAATGACATGCAGAGTATTTCAGAGTATGGAATTTGAATGCTCTCAAAGCTCATCTAGTACTGCTGGAACCTGGTTTGAATGAGTGGTTCCACATGCTCCATACCCCTGTTGACGTAGTTCTTTGAATAAAGGAACTGATGTAAAGTAGTTATCCATTTCAATTGAATAGGATGTGACCAGCTGTGAGATAGAGATTTCATTAGATGTGGCATTCGGTGTAGCATTCGGGGGGGTGATATTCGGGTTGATATTAGGGCCAATATTATGGGTGATATTAGAGTCGATATTAGGGGTGGCATTCGGCATGGTATTCGGTGTATTCGGTGTGGATACCATAGAAAGCCGCTTCACCAGATTCACCACCATAGATCTGGTTTTTGTTAACATAGAGAATTGAAACATAGACATTATACCCTGCCAGCAGCTAGATCAGGAAAAAGATCATAAATAGTCATGTTCTGCTAGGCCAAATATCTTATATCTTCAAGGAATTGGTTTATTAGACATCTTGTATGTAATGTTGACTCCATCCAAAATATTTAACCATGATCTCATCAATGGAAATCTTAGAGTCAGGGGTATAGTATTTTCAGCATGCCATATGAAACTTAGTAGCTAATGACTCTATCTTATACCATCAATTCTTATTTTTGACCTCCGGGCGGCGGGCCTCATGAAGGTTAGATATATGGATATATCATTTAATCTGTTCAAAACGCATATGGGTCATATAGAATTGAATGGAATGAATAGAGTCTTGTTTCAGCTCATTCTGCCCGTATAGATCAATTCAATGGAATTTATGAACTTTCATATAGAGAAGAATGCCTATAAAGACCTTTATCTCTGCTGCATTGATATTTTTCCATGAACATTGCTGAATAGAAAGCTTTGAGAATATAGATATTTCAGAAATCTCTATATCTATATCTTGAGCTTTCTCATTCTTTTTCATTTCTGAAAGCTCTGAAGCTTCATCATCAGTATCTCTGGTATCTCTCTTTAATTTTGCATAGAGATTAGTAGAATTACTGATATTTTAAAAGCATTTCTCAGAGAAGAATAAGATAAACAGAATGTATGAACTGCTGATATTGATATTTGCAGAAATATTGAAAATTGAATCTCATGAGATAGGCAATATTGAGTGGAATTTCACTGATTCTAGAGGTGGAAGTTCTGCAATAACCTCCTCAACAAACTGTTTTCATTTTCTTGATGTTTTTGTTAGAACTAGAGAATGAATTAGTTAGCTAGGTCATTTGAATTGATTAATATAAGGAACTCACCATTGGATTTAGTAGGTTTCTCAGTGGATTCCACATTCGCAGGTTTGGGGGTTCCATATTCGCGGGTAGGGGGATAGGTGGGAGAAGATATGAGAATCAGGCAGGCAGGCAGACAGGCAGGGCTTCAAACATGTTGAATTCCATACACATTCTTAAGATCTACATGAGATCTTCAATCAGTGGATCTAAATGACCAATTATTATTCATATAAAATCATATAGGATTCTATTGGTTATGCCCAGGGCGCCGGTGCAGAATTCCATACACTAATTGAAACCACGCTAATTTTGCACCAACCTACGGACGAGAAATGTGATTTTTGTCGAGCTTTTAACATTTTTTTGTTGTTTTTCTAACATTACACAAATATTAACAAGTATTTCTCTTTATTCAGAGTCAGATAACAAACTGAATCTATTATTCACAACTTCAACTGCTATCATATTCTGCATATGTGTATCCCTTATTTTGTTTGAACAGAGGTTCTTGGTGACTTCTGTGATCTAATTTTTTGCCTCGCAGAAGATTCAGAGATAGCAGATTCAGAGAGTTGAGAATTCCTTCTTTTTTATTTATTGCTATCATTTACATCAGTAGAGACTGAGTTATTTGTCTGTACTGATGGCTTTCCTGATTTGGGAGCAAATATACATTCTTTTGAATTTGCAAAGTGAGGCTCTTTACAATTGGCAACCCATTGGAAGTTGAGACGTTGAAACCATTGGAAGTCGAACCCGCTGAACGAACCCGTTAACCCGTTGGACCCAAACCAGTGGGATGACACCATTTAAAAGTCAAACCCGCTGGACATGCCCGTTGAAGGTTATAGGGTTAGGGTTAAACTATCCAAGTTATACATAGTGCGTGGTCCGACGCGCCCCCGTCCGATTTTCTCCGTCCCTGATTGGCCGCCCGTGCGTGCTCCCGCTCCCGCCTCCGCGTGCCCGCAGTGGGGCCCGGTCACAGTCGAGCTCCCTCTTCCCTTCCCTTCCGCGGCAGCCAGCCACCCCATTACTTCAAACTTTGCATGTAGGCCGTAGTGGATATGAAATACAACATATCCAAATCAAAAGCGATAATTCCGTCGGGAAGGGGTTACATTGTGGTGTCAAAGTCAATGAGTTGAGGTGCGATGTTTGATGGGGTAAGCCACCAACCCAACCAGACCCAACTAAATATATATATTTTCACCCAGGCAACGGAGCGGTGCAAAGCGGTGCAGGATCAACAAAGTAAATAAAAATAGCAAAACATATAAGAAAACTGAAAGGTTCATTCTGGAGTGATTTTAAACACAGAAAAACAAACATTCACACCAGATCAGATCTGTCAAGTTTCACACAAAGACACTGAATGAAGGAAATATATATATATTCAATGCACAAGACAGACCCAGCATCGACATGGAACATCAATTATTTATCCACTGTGAATCATACCTCATTATCATATGCCGCCGGTGCAAGCACGCTGTGTGGCCAACAGAGATTGAACGGCATCTGAAAGGCAAGGCCCATCAGCTAAAGCATGCGGTGGTTCAGCAGATAAAGGAGAACATTGAACAGTGGGACAATGTGGCTCGAGATACTACACAGTTAACACTGCCCACATACTACACAGTTAACACTGCCCACAATACTGAATGAACCAATCCCGGAACTACCCATTCAAGATGGCTACAGGTGCCAGCGGGATCCCCAGTGTCAGTATGTGGCAGGGAACATGAACACCATGCGCAAGCACTGGCAGAACAAGCACAGCTGGTCGCCATATCCCAGAGGGAGCCGACCAGCGACACTCCATCAGCCCAGACCCCATGGATGAGCAGATGACTGAGGAAGAAGAAGAGGAGGAGGAGAAGGGACAGAGAGATACCCAGCCAGAAGAAGAAGATAAGTTCAAATCAACCAAGATCCAGATGGCATGTTTGGATTTTTGAATTGAGCTGCTGAACCAGCGGGTTCAGGTGGAGGATTATGAGTGCGCGCTGGTAGACGCGTTGGCGGTGCTGGGACGGGGGGAGTATGGATGGTGCGACGCGAAGAGCTACCCACCAATATTGTCACGGATCAAGAAGAAGATAAGTTCAAATCAACCAAGATCCAGATGGCATGTTTGGATTTTTGAATTGAGCTGCTGGACCAGCGGGTTCAGGTGGAGGATTATGAGTGCGCGCTGGTAGACGCGTTGGCGGTGCTAGGACGGGGGGAGTATGGATGGCGCGACGCGGAGAGCTACCCACCAATATTGTCACGGATCATCAAGGTGGCACGGTTATGCCACACGGTGCTCAACGACCAGGTCAACTTCCGGCCCCAGATGCAACAGCTAGGCAGGCTGATGGCGGTCAAGACACAGATGGTGCTGCTGACGGCCACATTGCCACCAGATGAGGAGGAGAAGCTGTGGTCCCACATGCACTGCACCCGAGCGGACATATCATTGTTCCGGGCGCGGACATGCGGTCCAAATATGGCATACCGAGTGTGGCAACCCATCATTGAAGGGTCAGAGTACGATGGGCTCAACCGATGGTTTCAAGCACCCAGCGTGGTCAGGTTCATCCAGGACCGCATGAGATGGACGGGAGAAGGGAAGGGGGTGGTGTACTGCCAGACAGTGAATCAGGTCACGATGATGGCAAGCACATTGAGATGCGGGGCATATCACCACCACCAGATCAACAAGGCCGGCATACTGGAGTGTTTCCAGCAAGGTCAACACCAGGTCATCGTGGCGACAAGTGCACTGGGCATGGGAATCGACATCCCCAACATCTGCAGCATCATCCACGTCGGACGGCCGCGATCATTGCTGGATTATGGACAGGAGAGCGGGCGTGCAGGGTGTGATGGACAGACCAGTGAAGCCATCATCATTGAGCCCGAGGGTATCAGTGCAGCAATGATATGGTCAAGAAAGGATGCACCATCACTGCTGGACCAGAAGCTGGTTGAGCGGTACATGCAGGCAGGGGGTGAGGAGGGTGATGAACCGATGGCTCGATGTCGACGGGTGGTGCTGGACCGGTACCTGGACGGGGAAGTGGAGGGTTACATGAGACGGCACTGCGGTGATCGACACACAGGGGAGTCCCAGTGTGACGGGTGCGATGCCGAGTGGGAGGCCAGGGAGGCCGTGTTCACCCCCAGCCCAGGTGGCACGCCCACGCCCACACCCAGTCCAGGCTACAGTTCAAGAGCAACAGCCAAGGATGACTCCAGCGAGGATGAAACCAGCCAGGAGTCAGAGATGGAGAGCCAGCAGGGTGAAACCCACATCAGATTCAACGGCACATGCAGTCCCAGAATGGCCAGAAGTGTGAGCAAGAGCACAGACGACAACATAAATGAAAGCATCACCAAGAATGAAGCTTCAACTTCAGGCGGGAGCAGCCCGGGTCAATGGAACAAGCAAGAGTCAAGTGAAATCAGTGAAGACACCAGGGGCATCCCATCAACAACCAGACAGACATTCCACAAGCAGGATGTCCGTCGAGGCCGGTTCATCATCACACACCAGCAGCGAGGGCAGAGGGCATTGATGGATGAGGAGGTTTTAGTGGAAGAGGCGCAGAGGTGGAAGGATCAGTGTTTGATATGTGCAAATTGCAAGCGGGAGGGAGTTTGACCATGAGCTGTACCAGTGTCCCCACGAGGAGAGCCAGGAGGCAAAGAGATGGATGATGACAGTGCGGAGCAAGATCAAATACACACAGTATTCCGGGTGCTTCCGATGCGGGATGCCGCAGTCCATATGCAACAGCTGGAAGACACAGAGGCAGTGTCCGTACAGGGGATTTTTGATCCCGACAGTGGCAATGATGATGTATGGGTGTCACAGCAGCTGAGAGAGTTCAATGTGAATGCAGATGATCAGGAGGCGGTGATTGAATTTTTGAGACAGAAGGTTGAGGGGCAGGGCATCGAGCACAACCGGCTGGTGGAGATGTTTTGTTGGCTGCGAGGGATATATCAGGAGGCAGAGAGGGGGAAGATCGAGTCAGAGGGTACAGGGGTCAAGTGATATCACGGGTGAGAGGCACCACAGGGGGATGAAAGACGTATATATATATAAAGGCAGGTGAAGCAAGAGACAGAGGGTAGGGTTACAAAGAGTGAGGGTAGAGGCTGGGGGGGAGGATGAGGTCGTCAGAGTCAGGGTTAGGGTTGAAAAAGAGTGAGGCTAGAGACAGGGGTGGGCAGTGAGGTCAGGATAGGCGGTTAAATTAGACGCAAACCCGTTAACCCATTGAAAGTCAAACCCGTTGGACCCAAACCGATTGGACGTCGAAGCCGTTGGACGTCAAACCCGTCCCAGGAGGGAATTAACCCGTTGGGAGTTGAACACACTGGACCCAAACCCGTTGGAAGTCAAACCCGTTGGACGTCAAACCCGTCCCGGGAGCCCATTAACCCATTGGACCCGAACCCGTTGGATGAACCCATCAACCCGTTGGACGTCGAACCCGTTGGATGAGGAAGTCGAACACGGTGGACACAAACCCGTTGGATGTCAAACCCGTCCCAGGAGCGCATTAACCCGTTGGGAGTTGAACACACTGGACCCAAACCCGTTGGAAGTCAAACCCGTTGGACGTTAGGGTGTCAAACCCGTTGGACGTCGAACCCGTTGGACGTCGAACCCGTCCCAGGAGCGCATTAACCCGTTGGAAGTTGAACACGCTGGACCCAAACCCGTTGGATGTCAAACCCGTTGGACGTCGAACCCGTTGGACGTCGAACCCGTCCCAGGAGCGCATTAACCCGTTGGAAGTCGAACACGCTGGACCCAAACCCGTTGGATGTCAAACCCGTTGGACGTCGAACCCGTCCCAGGAGCGCATTAACCCGTTGGGAGTTGAACACGCTGGACCCAAACCCGTTGGATGTCGAACCCGTTGGATGAGGAAGTCGAACACGCTGGACCCAACCCGTTGGACGTCAAACCGGTTGGACGTCAAACCCGTCCAGGAGCGCATTAACCCGTTGGGAGTTGAACACGCTGGACCCAAACCCGTTGGACGTCAAACCCGTCCCAGGAGCGCATTAACCCGTTGGACCCGAACCCGTTGGATGAACCCATCAACCCGTTGGACGTCGAACCGGTTGGATGAGGAAGTCGAACACGCTGGACCCAACCCGTTGGACGTCAAACCCGTCCCAGGAGCGCATTAACAGGTTGGACGTCGAACCCGTCCCAGGAGCGCATTAACCCGTTGGGAGTTGAACACGCTGGACCCAAACCCGTTGGATGTCGAACCCGTCCAAGGAGCGCATTAACCCGTTGGAAGTCGAACACGCTGGACACAAACCCGTTGAACGTCAAACCCGTTGGACGTCGAACCCGTCCAAGGAGCGCATTAACCCGTTGGAAGTCGAACACGCTGGACACAAACCCGTTGAACGTCAAACCCGTTGGACGTCAAACCCGTCCCAGGAGCGCATTAACCCGTTGGAAGTCGAACACGCTGGACACAAACCCGTTGAACGTCAAACCCGTTGGACGTCGAACCCATCCAAGGAGCGCATTAACCCATTGGACCCAACCCGTTGGACGTCAAACCCGTCCAAGAAGCCCATTAACCCATTGGACCCGAACCCGTTGGATGAGCCCATTAACCCGTTGGGAGTTGAACACGCTGGACCCAACCCGTTGGACGTCAAACCCGTTGGACGTCAAACCCGTCCAGGAGCGCATTAACCCGTTGGGAGTTGAACACGCTGGACCCAAACCCGTTGGACGTCAAACCCGTTGGACGTCAAACACGCTATCCAACAGGTGGGGGTGGAATGGACGTCCATTCCATTCAGGGTTAGAAAACCGACCAATCAGAGCAGGGCAGATTGGGCGTACATTCCATTTGGTTTCAGACGTTGAACGTCCAATCAACCACGGAGTCAATTGACTTCAAACTTTGCATGTAGGCCGTAGTGGATATGAAATACAACATATCCAAATCAAAAGCGATAATTCCGCCGGGAAGGGGTTACATTGTGGTGTCAAAGTCAATGAGTTGAGGTGCGATGTTTGATGGGGTAAGCCATCAACCCAACCAGACCCAACTAAATATCTATATTTTCACCCCAGGCAACGGAGCGGTGCAAAGCGGTGCAAGATCAACAAAGTAAATTAAAATAGCAAAATATATAAAAAAAATGAAAGGCTTCATTCTGGAGTGATTTTAAGCACAGAAAAACAAACATTAGTCGAACACGCTGGACCCAAAGCCGTTGGACGTCAAACCCGTCCAAGGAGCCCATTCACCCATTGGACCCGAACCCGTTGGATGAACCCATCAACCTGTTGGAAGTCGAGCACGCTGGACGATTATATCAGAAGGTAGAGGGGGGGGTTCAAAAATATTGGAGTTTTAAAGAGCATTATCCCATACAATAATGGGCCAGGGTTAGGGTTACAAAGAGTGAGGGTAGAGGCTGGGGGGGAGGATGAGGTGGTCAGAGTCAGGGTTAGAGTGAGGGGTGTTCAGGGGTCGAACCGGTTGAACGAACCCGTCAACCCGTTGGACCCAAACCAGTGGGATGAAACCATTTAAAAGTCAAACCCGCTGGACATGCCCGTTGAAGGTTATAGGGTTAGGGTTAAACTATCCAAGTTCTACATAGTGCGTGGTCCGACGCGCCCCCGTCCGATTTTCTCCGTCCCTGATTGGCCGCCCGTGCGTGCTCCCGCTCCCGCCTCCGCGTGCCCGCAGTGGGGCCCGGTCACAGTCGAGCTCCCTCTTCCTCTTCCCTTCTCATATCTCATGGCACAGATGCTGGTGGTACAGCAGGCAGTTCAGATGGCCGAGGATGGGCAGGTGGAGCACCCTGCAGATGCGCTGGATGCCATGCGTGAACGCTTCCTCCTCCCAGGAGTGGCTGCCCCCTTTGGCTGGGTGACCCGGCTGCGGACATTCGGCAAGCGAGTGCAGAACACCACCACGAGTCTAGGGTATGTCTACTGGAGCGATGACCAGCAGACTCTAAGCTACAGAGAGCTGCATCTAAGCATAGCAGGGCTCCGGCGCTTCGTGCGCACGCAGGTGGAGCTGACACAGCACAAGCTTGAGCAGCTCTTTCTTGTTCATGAAGAGGAAGCACGGGAGGTGGTAGTGCCACGCCTGGTGCTGGCCCAGCTGGCGGACAGCCCTACAAACAATCAGCGCGGCTGGAACTTCCTTCGAGCACCGCAGAACTGCAAGGCCCTTCCAACCACAGGGGAGCGATGGCTGCTGGACCGAGTCCTCACAACAGACAGGCTCCGGGCAGAGTGGGTAGCTGTACGGCCATCTGATCATCAGGTGGTCTGGGACACAGCAGTGGTAGATGACTATCTGCAGCAGGTGGATGGATTTCTTGAGCAGCTGCTTCTTGTGGTTCATCTCACTGGGGGCCAGCCTGCGCGGGCCACAGAGCTGCTCAGCATACGGCACAGTAACACGGTCTGCGGCCGCCACCGCAGCATTTTTATTGAACATGGGCTGGTGAGCATGGTGACAACCTATCACAAAGGCTACAGCATGACCAACTCCACAAAGATCATCCACCGCTATCTGCCAGCAGAGGTCAGTGAGCTGGTGGTGTACTACCTCTGGCTGATTCTACCTTTCGCGCGGGCGGTCCAGCGGCTTGCATATGGAGACAGTGATAGCCAAGGGGGGCTGCGGTCACCATTTCTCTGGCCGCGGGGGCATGGACCGTGGGACAGCAGCCGGCTGCGGGTGGTGCTTCAGCGCGAGGCAAAGACACACCTCCAGACCAAGCTCAATGTAATCCCTTGGCGGCATGCCGCCATTGCCATCTCGCGTATGCACCTGTCCTGTGGAGGGTTCAAGCGGGAATATGAGGCAGATGATGCGGCAGTAGACCAGCAGGCAGGCCATGGATCCTGGGCTGCAGGTACAGTATATGCGCGGGGGCTGCAGGAGGCACCAGGCCACATTGAGGAACGGCGTGTGCGGTACCAGGCTGTCAGCCGGGAGTGGCATGAATTCCTGGGGTTTAACCCGGGGGTGCGAAAGCGGGCACGGAACATGGAAAAGAGCGTTAGCAGAAAAGCTCAAAAACAGCAGCCATCATATGTAACAGTAGAAATAGATGACAACATAGAGCTATAAATGATTAAAGATATATATTTTTCTCATGCAATCATGAATTCCTGGGGTTTAACCCAGGCCCAGGGGTGCGAAAGCGGGCACGGAACATGGAAAAGAGCGTTAGCAGAAAGGCTCAAAAACAGCAGCCATCATATGTAACAGTAGAAATAGATGACAACATAGAGCTATAAATGATTAAAGATATATATTTTTCTCATGCAATTCATTATGACCAGATTTCCAACTTCAGCAGCTAGCTGTCATCTTTATAAATTTCAATACAAATCAGCGTTTCACCTCCGTTATAAAATGTATAATATTATATTTTCATAGACAACTCATCACAACCAGACCTTAAACTTCAGTAGCCAGTTATATTATATATAAAGAGTATGATATTTAATTTCAAGTCATAATTTCATCAGAAAATCATATTATTACAACATTAAAGTAGATAAGTTGTTTTGCAGAGTTATCAATATTAAATATATATATTTCCCCCTTGGGCAACTACCATCATCAAAACTGTCACAGATCAGCGAAATAACAATCAGACAGAAATTAACATCATACATTTAAGTATTGATCTGCAATTGCTTAGAAGCATTACAAAACTTAAATTTAGAGCAAATTATCATTGTCGAGTGAAGTGTGTTTATACTTCATTTTCAAAGAATATATATATATATATATATATATCAACTCAAGAATACACTATCCAACAGGTGGGGGTGGAATGGACGTCCATTCCATTCAGGGTTAGAAAACCGACCAATCAGAGCAGGGCAGATTGGACGTACATTCCATTTGGTTTCAGACGTTGAACGTCAAATCAACCACGGAGTCAATTGACTTCAAACTTTGCATGTAGGCCGTAGTGGATATGAAATACAACATATCCAAATCAAAAGCGATAATTCCGCTGGGAAGGGGTTACATTGTGGTGTCAAAGTCAATGAGTTGAGGTGCGATGTTTGATGGGGTAAGCCATCAACCCAACCAGACCCAACTAAATATCTATATTTTCACCCAGGCAACGGAGCGGTTAGGGTTACTAGATCAACAAAGTAAATAAAAATAGCAAAATATATAAAAAAACTGAAAGGATTCATTCTGGAGTGATTTTAAACAGAGAAAAACAAACATTAGTCGAACACGCTGGACCCTAAGCCGTTGGACGTCAAACCCGTCCAACCAGGAGTCAGAGATGGAGAGCCAGCAGGGTGAAACCCACATCAGATCCAACAGCACATGCAGTCCCAGAATGGCCAGAAGTGTGAGCAAGAGCACAGACAACAACATAAATGAAAGCATCACCAAGAATGAGGCTTCAACTATCCCCTCGTCCGTAGGTTTGTGCAAAATTAGCGTGGTTTCATTAGTGTATATTATACGAGATCTCATTGAATAATCAGTGTATTTTTGAGTATTCATTGGTATTAGGGTTATATATAAACCCTAATTAAGGATCCGCGTTAATAGATATTAGGATATACTATGAAATTCCGCCCAACATTGAGTTTTCAAACATAAAAGGGTATTTTGACACTCTGAACAGTCAGAACTTGATCTCCCTATCTTTTTATATTTCTGCTGGCCAATCTTTCATTTATATTGACACCAGGCACAAACACGCTGCTTTGGAAGTGAAATCCGTTGATGATTTAGATTAGAATTTGATCATTCCCTTGATAGATTATCATGAATCCTAGATGTGAATTCAAAGAGTTCCTGGTAAAGCTTCTCATGAAAGCTTATATGAGAAGAAAGATCCTTCACTGAAATCCTCTGCTGCTTCATATATAGATATTGAAGCCGGTATGCATTAATAGCTGCGGAATCAATAAGTCAGTAGAGAATAGAAAGCCAGGTGTGATAGATGACTCTATGACTAGTATATGCTGCTCAGTATTGATTTGCTAGATGTACCCCATTCATATGATGATTATAATCACCTATAATCAATGGGATTTTCAGCTTCTTTTGTGATTGACCTTTAAAGACTTTTCTAACAATATTGACATTGATTGAGAGTTCCCCTGAGCATTTACAAGTACATTCAATAACTGCGTCCAATGAATGAATCGTAGTTAGTGCCAATACCATATTATTATCTTGCCAGGCAAGACAGAGAACATTCTCTTTTTCAATGACATGCAGAGTATTTCAGAGTATGGAATTTGAATGCTCTCAAAGCTCATCTAGTACTGCTGGAACCTGGTTTGAATGAGTGGTTCCACATGCTCCATACCCCTGTTGACGTAGTTCTTTGAATAAAGGAACTGATGTAAAGTAGTTATCCATTTCAATTGAATAGGATGTGACCAGCTGTGAGATAGAGATTTCATTAGATGTGGCATTCGGTGTAGCATTCGGGGGGGTGATATTCGGGTTGATATTAGGGCCAATATTATGGGTGATATTAGAGTCGATATTAGGGGTGGCATTCGGCATGGTATTCGGTGTATTCGGTGTGGATACCATAGAAAGCCGCTTCACCAGATTCACCACCATAGATTCAGTTTTGTTAACATAGAGAATTGAAACATAGACATTATACCCTGCCAGCAGCTAGATCAGGAAAAAGATCATAAATAGTCATGTTCTGCTAGGCCAAATATCTATATCCTCAAGGAATTGGTTTATTAGACATCTTGTATGTATGTTGACTCCATCCAAAATATTTAACCATGATCTCATCAATGGAAATCTTAGAGTCAGGGGTATAGTATTTTCAACATGCCATATGAAACTTAGTAGCTAATGACTCTATCTTATACCATCAATTCTTATTTTTGACCTCCGGGCGGCGGGCCTCATGAAGGTTAGATATACGGATATATCATTTAATCTGTTCAAAACGCATATGGGTCATATAGAATTGAATGGAATGAATAGAGTCTTGTTTCAGCTCATTCTGCCCGTATAGATCAATTCAATGGAATTTATGAACTTTCATAGAAAGAAGAATGCTTATAAAGACCTTTATCTCTGCTGAATTGATATTTTTCCATGAACATTGCTGAATAGAAAGCTTTGAGAATATAGATATTTCAGAAATCTCTATATCTATATCTTGAGCTTTCTCATTCTTTTTCATTTCTGAAAGCTCTGAAGCTTCATCATCAGTATCTCTGGTATCTCTCTTTAATTTTGCATAGAGATTAGTAGAATTACTGATATTTTAAAAGCATTTCTCAGAGAAGAATAAGATAAACAGAATGTATGAACTGCTGATATTGATATTTGCAGAAATATTGAAAATTGAATCTCATGAGATAGGCAATATTGAGTGGAATTTCACTGATTCTAGAGGTGGAAGTTCTGCAATAACCTTCTCAACAGACTGTTTTCATTTTCTTGATGTTTTTGTATAAACTAGAGAATGAATTAGTTAGCTAGGTTATTTGAATTGATTAATATAAGGAACTCACCATTGGATTTAGTAGGTTTCTCAGTGGATTCCACATTCGCAGGTTTGGGGGGTTCCATATTCGCGGGTAGGGGGATAGGTGGGAGAAGATATGAGAATCAGGCAGGCAGGCAGACAGGCAGGGCTTCAAACATGTTGAATTCCATACACATTCTTAAGATCTACATGAGATCTTCAATCAGTGGATCTAAATGACCAATTATTATTCATATAAAATCATATAGGATTCTATTGGTTATGCCCAGGGCGCCGGTGCAGAATTCCATACACTAATTGAAACCACGCTAATTTTGCACCAACCTACGGACGAGAAATGTGATTTTTGTCGAGCTTTTAACATTTTTTTGTTGTTTTTCTAACATTACACAAATATTAACAAGTATTTCTCTTTATTCAGAGTCAGATAACAAACTGAATCTATTATTCACAACTTCAACTGCTATCATATTCTGCATATGTGTATCCCTTATTTTGTTTGAACAGAGGTTCTTGGTGACTTCTGTGATCTAATTTTTTGCCTCGCAGAAGATTCAGAGATAGCAGATTCAGAGAGTTGAGAATTCCTTCTTTTTTATTTATTGCTATCATTTACATCAGTAGAGACTGAGTTATTTGTCTGTACTGATGGCTTTCCTGATTTGGGAGCAAATATACATTCTTTTGAATTTGCAAAGTGAGGCTCTTTACAATTGGCAACCCATTGGAAGTTGAGACGTTGAAACCATTGGAAGTCGAACCCGCTGAACGAACCCGTTAACCCGTTGGACCCAAACCAGTGGGATGACACCATTTAAAAGTCAAACCCGCTGGACATGCCCGTTGAAGGTTATAGGGTTAGGGTTAAACTATCCAAGTTCTACATAGTGCGTGGTCCGACGCGCCCCCGTCCGATTTTCTCCGTCCCTGATTGGCCGCCCGTGCGTGCTCCCGCTCCCGCCTCCGCGTGCCCGCAGTGGGGCCCGGTCACAGTCGAGCTCCCTCTTCCCTTCCCTTCCGCGGCAGCCAGCCACCCCATTACTTCAAACTTTGCATGTAGGCCGTAGTGGATATGAAATACAACATATCCAAATTAAAAGCGATAATTCCGTCGGGAAGGGGTTACATTGTGGTGTCAAAGTCAATAAGTTGAGGTGCGATGTTTGATGGGGTAAGCCACCAACCCAACCAGACCCAACTAAATATATATATTTTCACCCAGGCAACGGAGCGGTGCAAAGCGGTGCAGGATCAACAAAGTAAATAAAAATAGCAAAACATATAAGAAAACTGAAAGGCTTCATTCTGGAGTGATTTTAAACACAGAAAAACAAACATTCACACCAGATCAGATCTGTCAAGTTTCACACAAAGACACTGAATGAAGGAAATATATATATATTCAATGCACAAGACAGACCCAACATCGACATGGAACATCGATTATTTATCCACTGTGAATCATACCTCATTATCATATGCCGCCGGTGCAAGCACGCTGTGTGGCCAACAGAGATTGAACGGCATCTGAAAGGCAAGGCCCATCAGCTAAAGCATGCGGTGGTTCAGCAGATAAAGGAGAACATTGAACAGTGGGACAATGTGGCTCGAGATACTACACAGTTAACACTGCCCACAATACTGAATGAACCAATCCCGGAACTACCCATTCAAGATGGCTACAGGTGCCAGCGGGATCCCCAGTGCCAGTATGTGGCAGGGAACATGAACACCATGCGCAAGCACTGGCAGAACAAGCACAGCTGGTCGCCATATCCCAGCCGTGGCCGTACAGCGCCACAAAAGCGTACGGCAGCACAGGATGAGGTGGACAGATCATGCCAGAAGGTGCAGTTCCAGCAGATATTTGCATCGCGCAAGGGCTCCCACTACATACAGATCCAGACTAAGGAGACTACTGAGCATACCGGCACGCCAGACCAGAACAGAGCCAGCCAGGCCATTGATGAGCTGGAGCGATTTTACCAGGAACAGCAACGGCAGACCAGCAATGTCATCCAGGCCGGGGAGCACGATGAAGCCAACCCATGGCTGCGGCGGACCAGATGGCCGGTGTACTTGACCAACATCGCACCCAATGATCTGGTCAACTGCGTCCAGCGGCCCGACGATGACACCACGTGCCCAGATGAACTGGCCGCGAGGGCCATCTGGGAGGCCATGGGTCAGGTTGCCCGTACCAGCCAGCGAGTCATCACACGGCTGGGCCACTTCGTCCGCATCGAGGCCATCCGCACAGAGCGACACCAGACCCGGCACACCCCGTTGCAGGCGTACATGGACGAGGAGAGCATCGCCGAGCACGTGAGGCCATGGCAGCAGATGTTGATGTTTTTCGCCCGAACGCAGGTCGAGCATGAATGGACGAGCCCACAGTACCGGTTCACACCACGGCAGCGCAAGACATGGAGGGTATTATGGCAGGTAGCCACCACAGAGGGAGCCGACCAGCGACACCCCATCAGCCCAGACCCCATGGATGAGCAGATGACTGAGGAAGAAGAAGAGGAGGAGGAGAAGGGACAGAGAGATACCCAGTCAGAAGAAGAAGATAAGTTCAAATCAACCAAGATCCAGATGGCATGTTTGGATTTTTGCATTGAGCTGCTGAACCAGCGGGTTCAGGTGGAGGATTATGAGTGCGCGCTGGTAGACGCGTTGGCGGTGCTGGGACGGGGGGAGTATGGATGGTGCGACGCGGAGAGCTACCCACCAATGTTGTCACGGATCATCAAGGTGGCACGGTTCATGGTGGTGCACAAGGCGCTGCGACTGGACGCCAATGCATCCGACATGCTGGCCAGGAACCAAGCAAGCCAGATGGTGGGAGAGTGGGCCGTGGTGAGCCCCATGGAGGAGGCGGATTACACGTTCACAGGCAACCAGAATGAAGGGTATGAAAGTGACAGCGGCAGGACCAGTGCCAGTTCCAACCCCCCATCATCACCGCCCACATCGTCCCCACGCAGCGATGATCCCCCGGCCACGATATCCATCGGCGGGTCAACTTCAAACAACAGAAAGCAGCGATCGTTTCAGGAATGGCTTGAGCTGTTCATGGAGGCATTCATGGTCCGCGGCACACACAGTCCCATGCAGTGGATGCTGGACCTGCGCACGTATGGATTGAAGGTGCACTACAGCAACACCACACCCGGCCACGTCGGCTGGATGGGAGGGGATGAGCTGCTGTACAAGGACATGCACTTCACCATGGGCGACTTCCGGGGCTTCACACACGGGCTGGTGGGAGCGACGAGGCGGATCCTGCGGGAGGAGTTGTTGTTTGAGAATGAGCTGAATGGACAGCAGCCACCAGCCATCCCATGGTCCACGATGCGGGATGACCCCACCCAGGGAGGGACGGGGTGGAATTTTTTAAAGGACAGCCGCACGCGGTGGCCGGTGGATGGGGCACAGTGGTTGATGCAGCAGATGCGCATACAGCCCGGGATGCAGCGGCGGTTCATCCAGCGAGAGCACAGCGACCGGCCCCGTTTGGCAATCAAGGCGATCAACGCATACCTGCGCTGGGTGGTGAGATTCCGGGAGAAGCTGAGCGTGGCGGTGCATGTCACGGCGGGCCAACCGGCACGGGCGCCCGAGCTGCTCAGCGTCCGACACATCAACACCGAGAACGGGGGCCACCGCAACATATTCATAGAGGATGGGATGGTGGTGTTCGTCACGCGGTACCACAAGGGGTTTCATGCATCCAACGACATCAAGGTGATCCACCGGTATCTGCCAAGGGAGGTCGGGGAACTGGTGGTGTGGTATTTATGGCTGGTGCTCCCATTCGCCCAGCGGCTGCAGGAGTATCGACGACGGATCCGAGAGGAAGAGGGAAATCCAGAAGAGGAGAACGCCAACCAACGGGGGGCATACATGTGGGGAGGAGACCCCGACGGGCGGGCCTGGACGTCCGAGCGTTTCCGGGAGGTGTTGAAACGGGAGACCCGCATCGGGCTACATGGTCAGGGGTTGAACCTGGCAGCATACCGGAACATCGCCATCGCGATCAGCAGGCAGTTCATGCGCCCATCCAGCGCGTTCAAAAACAACAGCCAGCAGGAAGAGGAGGAGCAGGTGGCCGGCAGCAATGGAGATGAAGATGAACCCATGGACCCCGAGGAATGGCTGGGACGGATCACAGACATGCAAGCGGCCCACACATCACACGTGGCCGGCATGGTGTACGCACGAGGGATCACGGAGCAGGCCGGGACCACACACCGGCGCCGTGAGATGTTCCGGTTGAGCAGCACAGACTGGCACCGGTTTTTAGGGTTCGAGTCGGCAACGACCGAGAAGACGACGAGGGATGCGGTGCTGGGAAAACGCAAGCGGGCACCATGGGAGACAGAGGCCGAGGAGGGGCGTATGGAGCGTCGATTTCAGCTGCAGCAGACCGACATGGAGGCCGAGCTGCAGCGGATGATGGGTGACAAGGCACTGAAGTTTCGAGGGGTGCAGGCGGCAGCGATACGGGCCATCCAGGACGGTGAAAGTCCCGTGGTGGCCATCATGCCAACCGGAGGGGGGAAGAGCATGATGTTCATGTTGCCCGCGTGGGTTGCACCCGGGGGAACAACGGTGGTGGTGGTTCCACTGGTGGCGCTGCGAGGGGACATGCAGCGGAGGTGCGAGGAGCTGGGGATATCATGTGTGGAGTGGGAGAGCCGAAGACCGCCCGATGAAGCATCGATGGTGCTGGTGACACCCGAGTCCGCATTGAGCGAGGACTTCATCACATTTTTGAACCGACAGCGGCTGAACCACCGACTGGACCGGATCGTCATCGATGAATGCCACACGGTGCTCAACGACCAGGTCAACTTCCGGCCCCAGATGCAACAGCTCGGCAAGCTGATGGCGGCCAAGACACAGATGGTGCTGCTGACGGCCACACTGCCACCCGGTGAGGAGGAGAAGCTGTGGTCCCGCATGCACTGCACCCGAGCGGACATATCATTGTTCCGGGCGCGGACATGCCGTCCAAATGTGGCATACCGAGTGTGGCAACCCATCATTGAAGGGTCAGAGTACGGTGGGCTCAACCGATGGTTTCAAGCACCCAGCGTGGTCAGGTTCATCCAGGACCGCATGAGACGGACGGGAGAAGGCAAGGGGGTGGTGTACTGCCAGACGGTGAATCAGGTCACGACGATGGCAAGCGCATTGGGGTGCGAGGCATATCACCACCACCAGATCGACAAGGCCGGCATACTGGAGCGTTTCCGACAAGGTCAATACCAGGTCATCGTGGCGACAAGTGCACTGGGCATGGGCATCGACATCCCCAACATCCGCAGCATCATCCACGTCGGACGGCCGCGATCATTGCTGGATTATGGACAGGAGAGCGGGCGTGCAGGGCGTGATGGACAGGCCAGTGAAGCCATCATCATTGAGCCCGAGGGTATCAGTGCAGCAATGATATGGTCAAGAAAGGATGCACCATCACTGCTGGACCAGAAGCTGGTTGAGCGGTACATGCAGGCAGGGGGTGAGGAGGGTGATGAACCGATGGCTCGATGTCGACGGGTGGTGCTGGACCGGTACCTGGACGGGGAAGTGGAGGGTTACATGAGACGGCACTGCGGTGATCGACACACAGGGGAGTCCCAGTGTGACGGGTGCGATGCCGAGTGGGAGGCCAGGGAGGCCGTGTTCACCCCCAGCCCAGGTGGCACGCCCACGCCCACACCCAGTCCAGGCTACAGTTCAAGAGCAACAGCCAAGGATGACTCCAGCGAGGATGAAACCAGCCAGGAGTCAGAGATGGAGAGCCAGCAGGGTGAAACCCACATCAGATTCAACGGCACATGCAGTCCCAGAATGGCCAGAAGTGTGAGCAAGAGCACAGACGACAACATAAATGAAAGCATCACCAAGAATGAAGCTTCAACTTCAGGCGGGAGCAGCCCGGGTCAATGGAACAAGCAAGAGTCAAGTGAAATCAGTGAAGACACCAGGGGCATCCCATCAACAACCAGACAGACATTCCACAAGCAGGATGTCCGTCGAGGCCGGTTCATCATCACACACCAGCAGCGAGGGCAGAGGGCATTGATGGATGAGGAGGTTTTAGTGGAAGAGGCGCAGAGGTGGAAGGATCAGTGTTTGATATGTGCAAGTGGCAAGCGGGAGTTTGACCATGAGCTGTACCAGTGTCCCCACGAGGAGAGCCAGGAGGCGAAGAGATGGATGATGACAGTGCGGAGCAAGATCAAATACACACGGTATTCCGGGTGCTTCCGATGCGGGATGCCGCAGTCCATATGCAACAGCTGGAAGACACAGAGGCAGTGTCCGTACAGGGGATTTTTGATCCCGACGGTAGCAATGATGGTGTATGGGTGTCATGCAGGGCAGATGAAGCAGGCGTGGAGACAGCGGCTGAGAGAGTTCAATGTGGATGCAGATGATCAGGAGGCGGTGATTGAATTTTTGGGACAGAAGGTTGAGGGGCAGGGCATCGAGCACAACCAGCTGGTGGAGATGTTTTGTTGGCTGCGAGGGATATATCAGGAGGCAGAGAGGGGGAAGATGGAGTCAGAGGGTACAGAGGTCAAGTGATATCATGGGTGAGGGGCACATCACGGGTGAGAGGCACCACAGGAGGATGAAAGATGTATATATATATAAAGGCAGGTGAAGCAAGAGACAGAGGGTAAAGGGATATAACATCGAGAGAAAGTAGATCAGGTTCAAAGGATCAGTTTCAAACAGTATCATCCCATATGATAATGGGTCAGGGTCAGGGTTACAAAGAGGTAGGGTAGACGCTCGGGGGGAGGATGAGGTGGTCAGAGTCAGGGTTAGGGTTGACAAAGAGTGAGGCTAGAGACAGGGGTGGGCAGTGAGGTCAGGATAGGCGGTTAAATTAGACGCAAACCCGTTAACCCATTGAAAGTCAAACCCGTTGGACCCAAACGCGTTGGATGTCGAACCCGTCCAAGGAGCGCATTAACCCGTTGGAAGTCGAACACGCTGGACACAAACCCGTTGGATGTCAAACCCGTTGGACGTCGAACCCGTTGGACGTCGAACCCGTCCCAGGAGCGCATTAACCCGTTGGAAGTCGAACACGCTGGACCCAAACCCGTTGGATGTCAAACCCGTTGGACGTCGAACCCGTTGGACGTCGAACCCGTCCCAGGAGCGCATTAACCCGTTGGGAGTTGAACACGCTGGACCCAAACCCGTTGGACGTTGAACCCGTTGGATGAGGAAGTCGAACACGCTGGACCCAACCCGTTGGACGTCAAACCCGTCCCAGGAGCGCATTAACCCGTTGGGAGTTGAACACGCTGGACCCAAACCCGTTGGACGTCGAACCCGTCCCAGGAGCGCATTAACCCGTTGGGAGTTGAACACGCTGGACCCAAACCCGTTGGACGTTGAACCCGTTGGATGAGGAAGTCGAACACGCTGGACCCAACCCGTTGGACGTCAAACCCGTCCCAGTAGCGCATTAACCCGTTGGGAGTTGAACACGCTGGACCCAAACCCGTTGGATGTCGAACCCGTCCTTGGAGCGCATTAACCCATTGGACCCGAACCCTTTTAGATGAACCCATCAACCCGTTGGACGTCGAACCGGTTGGATGAGGAAGCCCAACACGCTGGACCCTCCCCGTTGGACGTCAAACTCTTCCCAACAGCGCATTAACCCGTTTGGCGTTGATCACGCTGGACCCAACCCGGTGGACTGCAAACCCGTCCCAGGAGCGCATTTCCCCGTTTGATCCTAAACCTATTGGATGACCCCATCTA